GATATGGTTGGTATGGTTGGTATGGTTTATATGGTTGATATGGTTGGTATGGTTTATATGGTTGGTATGGTTGGTATGGTTGATATAGTTGATATGGTTGGTATGGTTTATATGGTTGATATGCTTGGTATGGTTGATATGGTTTATATGGTTTATATGGTTTATATGGTTTATATGGTTGATATGGTTGATATGGTTTATATGGTTGATATGGTTTATATGGTTTATATGGTTGATATGGTTGATATGGTTTATATGGTTTATATGGTTGATATGCTTGGTATGGTTGGTATGGTTGGTATGGTTGATATGGTTTATATGGTTTATATGGTTTATATGGTTTATATGGTTTATATGGTTGATATGGTTGGTATGGTTGGTATGGTTGATATGGTTGATATGGTTTATATGGTTGATATGGTTGATATGGTTTATATGGTTTATATGGTTTATATGGTTTATATGGTTGATATGGTTGGTATGGTTGATATGGTTGATATGGTTGGTATGGTTGATATGGTTGATATGGTTTATATGGTTGATATGGTTTATATGGTTGATATGGTTGATATGGTTGGTATGGTTTATATGGTTGATATGGTTGGTATGGTTGGTATGGTTTATATGGTTGATATGTTGGTATGGTTGGTATGGTTTATATGGTTGATATGGTTGGTATGGTTGGTATGGTTGATATGGTTGGTATGGTTTATATGGTTGGTATGGTTGGTATGGTTGATATGGTTTATATGGTTTATATGGTTGGTATGGTTGATATGGTTGGTATGGTTGATATGGTTGGTATGGTTTATATGGTTGATATGGTTGGTATGGTTGGTATGGTTGATATGGTTTATATGGTTGATATGGTTGATATGGTTGGTATGGTTTATATGGTTGATATGGTTTATATGGTTGATATGGTTGGTATGGTTTATATGGTTGATATGGTTGATATGGTTTATATGGTTTATATTGTTTATATGGTTGGTATGGTTGGTATGGTTTATATGGTTGATATGGTTGGTATGGTTGATATGGTTGATATGGTTTGTATGGTTGATATGGTTTATATGGTTTATATGGTTGATATGGTTGGTATGGTTGGTATGGTTTATATGGTTGATATGGTTGGTATGGTTGATATGGTTGGTATGGTTTATATGGTTGATATGGTTGGTATGGTTGGTATGGTTTATATGGTTGATATGGTTGGTATGGTTGGTATGGTTTATATGGTTGATATGGTTGGTATGGTTTATATGGTTGGTATGGTTGGTATGGTTTGGTATGGTTTATATGGTTTATATGGTTTATATGGTTGATATGGTTTATATGGTTGATATGGTTTATATGGTTGATATGGTTTATATGGTTTATATGGTTGATATGGTTGATATGGTTGATATGGTTTATATGGTTTATATGGTTGATATGGTTTATATGGTTGGTATGGTTGGTATGGTTGGTATGGTTGATATGGTTTATATGGTTTATATGGTTGTTATGCTTGGTATGGTTTATATGGTTGATATGGTTGGTATGGTTTATATGGTTGATATGGTTTATATGGTTGGTATGGTTGGTATGGTTTATATGGTTGATATGGTTGATATGGTTGATATGCTTGGTATGGTTTATATGGTTGGCCGTCATGACAAATGATCAAAAGGAAATTAGTAGTAGCAAAATTGCTTCCAACCAGCAAAACAATCAAAACCAGGGAGAGATTTTTTTAAAAATAAAATCTTTCTATCAGAAATGGAGGAACAAAGTTTTTTAAAAAGTAAAAAAAAATGGAAATGAAGTCACAGAGCTACTCCAACATGCTAGCATGTAGCAAGAGGATTACAAGGTTTATTTCTATAACTTGATGTTGACCATGATCACTGTTCTCTCCACAGAGCTGCATGGACCCTTCATTAATGTCAGCAGATCAGACTCTCCTCCAGGGTCGGTGGTGACCTGTTCAGCCACAGGTCAACCTGTTCCCATGGTAACACTGACTGTTCTCCATCAGAACCTCAGTTTCTCTGACAGCAACACCTGCAGAGAGACCAACACTAACGGTACCGTCACCGTCACCACTACAGCTCTGCTCTCAGCTCTCAGCAACACACAGGTTGGATGTTCAGTATCACTGGACTCTGCTGCTGTCAGAGATCTGCTGGTCATCGTTCCTGGACTCACTGAGACGTCTGATGATGGTGAGGAACTTTCTAAGACTCCTTTGTTTTTCATTTAGTAACTAATGATGTATATGTGATTGTAAATGTTTGAATCTCTTTTACCAGGTCTGAATAACCAATCAGAGTCTTATCTCAGAGGTTTCAGTAAGTTCATGTTCAGATTCTCACATCTTCATTTTTGGCTTTGTTCTGTTGTTGAAACACATTCATCTTCCTAAAGGATGGCCTCTGATTGTTGTTGTCCTGGGGATCCTGACCCTGTTGGTGTTTTACTATTCAAAAATATCTGAGATGAGGTACTTTAATTAAAAAGTGTTTTTTGTTGTTGAGTTTCACATCATTAATGTCTCAGATTTGATTTGATTTACTGACTAAAATTATTCCCAGGTACAATGAACCTTCAACAAACACCACAGCCAATCAGAAGTAAGGATTTTATTTATTCATTCCTGTTACGCAGATGGAGATTTATCTCATCTTTTACATCCCTTCTAATGTGATGCATACTCTCTATTTTCTGAACGCTATAAGGCAGATTTATTTCTCACCAACATGTTCATTTTATTTTTAAGTTCAGATAACTCACCAGTGTCGAGCTCAGACATCAGACTACGAACACCTGAGAGCCAGAGACAAAACAGCGATTCCCGTCCATCACCATGAAGATTTATCTAATCTTTTACATTCCTTAAATAATGGAATATATATTCTATATTTCCTTAGCATTATAAGGCAGATTAATTTTTTATCAACATGTTAATTTTATTTTTAAGGTCTGGCATGTCACATCAAACTACGAACATCTCAGAGGCTGAGGCAAAACAGCTGTTTTTTTTACCTTGAGGGAAAACAGATGTTTGTTTTGCGTTTATATCTGTTAGCAGATTTTAATTCTTGCATTAACAAGATGTTGAGTTTTTGTTGCTGCTGGAAGGAGAGCACGAATGTGAGGAAATATTTATTTGTCTGTCTTTATCAATTTTATGTTTTTAAAATATAAAAACATGATTGTGTTTAGATTTTTAGTACTGATTGTGTTTAGATTTTTATTATTTTGTGGGTTGATGTTTTCTCCCTCAATCAGAAGGTTGTGGGTTTGATTTCGGTTTCCAACTTGCCTTTTAATCTGTGTTTGTGAAAGTGAGCATTGGTGAGTGCCATTGAGCAAGTTTACCGATGTTTACCCATAGGAGTAATGGAGAAAGTTAGTTTTAACAAGCAAAAGGTCTCTGTGAAAATTTTTTGTGAGGATATAACCAGAAATGGAAAAATTCACATAACAGTAGATGAAACAAAACCAAACTGGAGCAAAAGACAGTTTAATATTCAGGGAAAAGAGGCATTTTTATTTATTTTTAGTTTTTTATGATGGCGACATAAATGTGTTGCTATTGACTCTTACAAAAAATACAGCTAAGATAATCACTTCTTTATGTGAAGCCAGACAATAGATGTTAGAATATACATGACAAAAAACAATAAACAATAATCTGAATCTATGCGATGTTATGTATAGATTCTTCTGGATTTAAAATATGCACACGTTCATCTATATGTGGAGGTTCAAATATTAATGTAGAAAACGCACTTTAATTTCAGAATGTTATGAAGGATGGATGTTACCTTTTACAAATCTGACAAACATTTCCAATATTATAAGCAGAAATGAAGGAAAACAGCAAGTTACAGCTAAAGTAATGAATGTCATGTTATTATTTATATGGGGGAAGAACATGAGTGAGACACAAAGAAGGAAATATGATGGATGACTTAAAATAATGAAGATTCTATGTACAAATTAAATAATGTTTTTTTTTGTTATTATCATTATTAAACATTTTTTGCATACTGTCTTCATTCAGTTACTCTATGGAGAAAAAACTAAAAAGTTTGGATTTACTTTCAGTCTCTAATTTACATTTTCATCAGTTGAAACTACTGATGTCCCCTGTCTGTAAGCTTCAGTGACTATTACTCGTGAAGATGGAGCATTAAAATATTTTTAAAGTGTTCATTTTATTGTGTTTTTTTTCCAGTTTCTTCTGCATATTCATCTCCAGATCTTTCCAGTCTTTTTCTCTGTAGTTCTTAGTTCTTGTTTTAGTTTGGAAACTTGTATTTTCTGTTTAGTTGTTTTTCTTACATGTTTTTTGTTCTCCAGTCACATTTTAGTTTAATTGTAATTATTTCTCATATCTCTTGTTTGCTTTAATGTCTATCAGTCATTTTCTTCATCTCAACTTCAGCTCCTTGTATTGAGTCACAGCTGCAACCACTTTCTAACCAGCCACTTGCTTCTTGTGTAAGAATCAACTCTCCATCTTAAACATCTGTTTATTACCAAAGGTTAGCAGATTCCCTGGAGTCTCTGGGTGCAGCATGCTCTCCTCCTGGATCAACATGGAGCCACTTTGGAGCAATCCTAACAATATCATTATGATGTCATTATTCACTCACTTTAAAATGTGGAAGGTGGAAATAAATGGATAAAATGTAAAAAAACAAACAAAAAAAACAATAGAAGCAAGTTAGTTTTTTCAAACTAAAATCACCTCCAAAAAACATTAATAGACAAGACAGTTAAGGATGATAAAACATCTTCTACATAATGAGCATCTGGTTTGTGATGTTTTAAGTTATTATAGTGTTAAAAGGCCTTAAAGATTAAGAAACGTGATGACGTTACGAATATATTAAACGTTTCCTCTTCGGTCAGTATGCGAGAGTTTAGAGCGATGCGCGCTCCAGCCACAGGGGGGCGCTATTGTCGTCACCTCACACCACACAATGTGGGTTGTGAAGCGTCTCATTTCTCCGCTTTCAACTCTCCATCACCAGGTTGCGATGCCTCATGGACGGAATGTGTTTAATTTTGTGTCTTTTTACCCTCGGAGGATCATTTCAGAAAGGTGAGAGAAACAAACACTGCTCAAGCTTTTTATGCTCAAAGTGGCTTTTGGTTGTTTTGAGTGTTTTCTCATTTGTTCATAAATAAATGCGATCCGATCTGAATGAACGTTCTTAGTTTCAGTTGTAACAATGATGGCAATGAGCCAAGCCTCCTTCAAGCTGCTTTTTTACTACACTCATTAAACCGAGGGGAAAAATACAAACAAAAAACTTTTACCTACAATGGCATTAATTTATTGAATAAATGTACTTCCACTAGTTTTACTGCTGCAGACTTTTTACCTGTTGAACAATATTTGATGTAAAGTCTGGCTTCAATTCCCATCTGCTGAACTGTTGTAGTTTATCTATAAAGTTGATCTTTATAGATAAAGTTGATCTATAAAGATGAACAGTATTTAGTTACTGTAAATATTACAGTAACTAATTGTGGGTCTTAGTTTCAAATATTTAATATTTACATTAAAAAACAACCCACTTTTATTAGGAAATTTGTTCATTGTACATTAGTTAGGTTTTTCTCTACTTCTGTTTATTACTATTGAATAATAATGTTGCTTGGTTTAGTTTATCTTCGGTAGATAGAAGTTAGGTTTAGAAGATGTTGAGAAAAACAATGTTTTAATCACATTTACAGCAGAGAAATACACAATAGAGAACGCCACATGTTCACTGTTCAGTTATAGATTTACTGGTTAGGTGTGTCTGTATTTTACTATCTTATAGAGGTGAAGAGATCATCAACTGCCAAACCAGACAGGAGGAACTGGGATGTCGACACAAACAATAGATCCAGAAATACATGTTTTAATCACAACAGAGCTTCCAATGGAAATATATGAAGCTGCATTTTGACTTGAATCACACAAAATAAAAGACTCAGACTTGACTTTGACTCTGGTTTTAGGACTCAGATCTTGAGAACATTTATGTCTTCAATCAAATCAATCAATCAATCAAATTTTATTTGTATAGCACATTTCAGCAGCAAGGCATTTCAAAGTGCTTTACATCATAAACACAAGAACACAAAGTCATGAAACATATAATAGACAATACATTGTTACATATTACATTTCAAATACAATTCTAAGCAGGTGTGTTTTTAGTTGCGATTTAAAAGAAGTCAGGGTTTCCGCTGTTTTACTGTTTTCTGGAAGTTTGTCCCAAATTTTTGGTGCATAGAGGCTGAAAGCTGCTTCTCTTCTCTTGGTTCTGGTTCTGGGGATGCAGAGCAGACCAGAACCAGAAGACCTGAGAGGTCTGGAAGGTTGATACAACAACAGCAGATCTTTGATGTATTGTGGTGCTAAACTGTTCAGTGATTTGTAAACTAACAACAGTATTTTAAAATCTATTCTTTGAGCTACAGGGAGCCAGTGGAGGGACTTTAAAACTGGTGTTATGTCTCTATTTTTCTGGTTCTAGTGAGAACGCGAGCAGCAGCGTTCTGGATCAACTGCAGCTGTTTGATTGATTTGTTGGACAGACCTGTGAAGAAGCTGTTACAATAATCAATGCGACTAAAGATAAACGCATGAATGAGTTTCTCTAGATCTGGCTGAGACATTATTCCTCTAATCCTGGAGATGTTCTTCAGGTGATAGAAGGCCGACTTTGTAATTGTCTTTATGTGGCTCTGAAGGTTCAGGTCAGAGTCCATCACTACCCCCAGGTTTCGGGCCTGATCGCTAGTTTTTAGTTGTAATTGAAGCTGTGCATTGACTTTAGATCGTTTCTCTTTAGGTCCAAAAATAATGACTTCAGTTTTGTTTCTGTTCAGCTGGAGAAAGTTTTGGCACATCCACACATTTAACATTTCTTGCAGCAAGCCTCTGAAAAGATCATGCATTAATTTTGTATGTGTTTCACATCTTAGGGATGATGTTGCCTTAAGTTTTTGGACAGTCACTAGAGTTGTTGAGCAATAAAATTGCTTCATAAGGAACAGACAAAGGAGCTTATCGGTCAAACGTTACTTCACTTTATCAAGATTAACTGTGAGAAAACAAGACAGCTTTGAGTTGTGACATAATTAACACTGATCACATTGTGCAGGTGTCTGTAGAGCCTGTGTCTCTTCAGGTTACATTTTGCAACTGTTGCCAAAAAGACCTGAATTGGCTTTTATGCATTATTGAGAACAAAATGTATTTCAATCAAATGTCATCTGCAGGAAAATACAACAGATTTCTCACTATAATGCATTAAAGAAATGAGTAAAAATATATTTTACAGCTTCTAGAAGGACATTAAGCTGCAGTAACTCAGTTCTTCTTGTTGGTTATATGATAGTTGGTGAGGGATGTTGTTCTTATTAACAAGGCTTTAGTCCATTGACTTTCCCAGACTTGTTCAGGCAGATTTCTCTTTTAGTTTCCACCATAGTATTGTGACCAGGTGTTGGTCTAGTGGTTGTTGATGCAGACAAAAATGTTCCAAATTCTTGTTTTTATAAAAATGCTCTCTCAAAATGATAATCATTTTATCAACAATAACTTCACTGCTAAAAATCCAATGGAAGCAGCAATAGTTAATATCCATGGTTAATAAATGACATTGGGGAAATTTGGTCTGACTTTGTACATTAGAGAACCTGATAGAGACCAGATCATTTTATTAAGTCCTAATAACAAGAATATGTAAATAGATTATTACAAATCTGTTTGCGGGCAGCCCTTCAATAAAATTTCCACGTCTGTATTTTGAGAAACTAATTTCCACATCGTAACGTTTTACTTGGGGCCACCAGAGAAAAAAAAGAAGTGAACCTGATTTGGTTTCCTTGTTGATATTAAGTTGCATCACACTTGGTTGTTTCTCAGTCCTTGTGATTTTCCATCCTAAGAACATACAGAGAATAAATCAAAGCTCTCTTATGGAATGATACATGATATAAATAAAGATATCCTGATCCATTTCCTTTGATTATGTCCTGCAGGTCTAGCAGTTCTGATCCAAACCCAGCAGACGGTGTTGGCAGCAGTAGGAGAAGATGCTCCTCTCAGCTGTCATCTGATGATAACTAAAGACGTCCAGCAGGTCACCTGGCAGAAGGTCTTGAAGAAAACAGAGAGGAATATTGGTTCCTACAGCGAGTATTATGGTGTAACTGTGAATGACAGATTTAAAGATAAAGTTCAGTTTACAGAAGCTGGACTGCAGAAGAACTCGATAGTTATCAGGAACGTTACGGAGCAGGATGCAGGATGTTACCTGTGTCTGTTTAATGCATATCCTGATGGAGCTCTGACAGCTGCAACATGTCTGAAGGTTTATGGTGAGAACCTGAAAGTATAAATTCAAGAATATTTTAATTAGGCTAAAGGGTAATCAAATATAACTCATATTATTCAGGCTTCTGTAAAGAGAAGCTCATGAAAGAGTCATATGTGACAGTCAGCAGTTCTAGAAAACCCTCTGACTGGAGACACTGTTTCATTGTGCAACACTGAATTGAGTCACTGTGAGTAACACAATCATCCCCAGAACAGAACCAGCCGTCTTCATCTGACAGTTGAGCCTTTTGGGTGCTGGACTCTCATAGACGACATGAGATATGATCCTTCTGCAATCACTGAAGGATCTGAGCTTCCTTAAGAAGTGAAGTCCACTCTGTCCCTTCTTGTAGCTTTATTTTTCCAACTTCAGTCCAAGTTGTTGTCCCACCGAACACTGAGGTATTTATAATCCCCAACCACCTCCACATCTTGAAGGACAGAAAAACTGTCAAACGAAAGGAAGGTAGGACGTCTGTTTGGCTTGGGACAGAAGATGATGATGATGATGATGATGATGATGATGATGATGATGATGATGATGAAGATGATGAGCTGGTTCCTGAACTGATTCTTTTGAAGAATGAGTTCAGGTCATTTGCTCTATTCAGACTTTCATCTGTCAAATTCTCCTTTGGCTTGAAACTTGTGATTGTCTTCATGCCTGACCTCACATCTCTAATATTTTTGGATTTGTCAAGAGAGGGTCTTGCTTCAAAGACGTGTGCATCTCTGACATTTACATAAATAAATTTAAAAAGCCAACGCCTTGTTGCTGTCAACTTGCAGCTGACAGAGCAGCTGCAAGTTGTTTAAATGTATATTGAGGCGTGACTCAAGTTCACAAATTTTTGCCTTTGCGGTGTCAAATCTGTTGCTTTGTAACAACTGCACTGATGAAACTATGCATCATCAGTAACAGCTGAGGTTGGAATGTGAGCAGTTCTGAAAATAACACTGGTGAACTCTTTAGATAAATAATATGGATGGAAACTAAACTTACTTCAAACATGGAAACGACACTTCACAGCAACATGTACTGGATGACACCATATATTATTCATAAGCACTGCTGCAGCGGTATTTTAGATCTTTGTCTCGTAGTCTGAAAGTCCAGTAGAGAGATGGTGAAGTCAGATTATCTGGAAGCCATGAGTCTAAAAAATGCAGGAGATATAAATAACAGTTACATCTGTTGTAATCTGTCTGCTTGGTATGGTTGGTATGGTTGGTATGGTTGATATGGTTGATATGGTTGATATGGTTTATATGGTTGATATGGTTTATATGGTTTATATGGTTGATATGGTTGGTATGGTTTATATGGTTGATATGGTTGGTATGGTTGGTATGGTTGGTATGGTTGGTATGGTTTATATGGTTGATATGGTTTATATGGTTTATATGGTTTATATGGTTTATATGGTTGATATGGTTGGTATGGTTGGTATGGTTGGTATGGTTGATATGGTTTATATGGTTTATATGGTTTATATGGTTTATATGGTTTATATGGTTGATATGCTTGGTATGGTTGGTATGGTTGGTATGGTTGATATGGTTTATATGGTTTATATGGTTTATATGGTTTATATGGTTTATATGGTTTATATGGTTGATATGGTTGGTATGGTTTATATGGTTGATATGGTTGATATGGTTGGTATGGTTTATATGGTTGATATGGTTTATATGGTTGATATGGTTGGTATGGTTGGTATGGTTGATATGGTTGGTATGGTTGGTATGGTTGGTATGGTTGATATGGTTTATATGGTTTATATGGTTGATATGGTTTATATGGTTTATATGGTTTATATGGTTGATATGGTTTATATGGTTGATATGGTTGATATGGTTGGTATGGTTGGTATGGTTGATATGGTTGATATGGTTGGTATGGTTGATATGGTTGATATGGTTGGTATGGTTGATATGGTTGGTATGGTTGATATGGTTGATATGGTTTATATGGTTGATATGGTTTATATGGTTGATATGGTTTATATGGTTGATATGGTTGATATGGTTGGTATGGTTGGTATGGTTGATATGGTTGGTATGGTTTATATGGTTGATATGCTTGGTATGGTTGGTATGGTTGGTATGGTTTATATGGTTGATATGGTTGGTATGGTTTATATGGTTGGTATGGTTGGTATGGTTGATATGGTTGGTATGGTTGGTATGGTTGATATGGTTGGTATGGTTTATATGGTTGATATGGTTTATATGGTTGATATGCTTGGTATGGTTGGTATGGTTGGTATGGTTTATATGGTTGGTATGGTTGGTATGGTTGATATGGTTGGTATGGTTTATATGGTTGTTATGCTTGGTATGGTTGGTATGGTTGGTATGGTTGATATGGTTGGTATGGTTGGTATGGTTTATATGGTTGATATGGTTGGTATGGTTTATATGGTTGGTATGGTTGGTATGGTTGATATGGTTGGTATGGTTGGTATGGTTGATATGGTTGGTATGGTTTATATGGTTGATATGGTTTATATGGTTGATATGCTTGGTATGGTTGGTATGGTTGGTATGGTTTATATGGTTGGTATGGTTGGTATGGTTGATATGGTTGGTATGGTTTATATGGTTGTTATGCTTGGTATGGTTGGTATGGTTGGTATGGTTTATATGGTTGGTATGGTTGGTATGCTTGGTATGGTTGGTATGGTTGGTATGGTTGATATGGTTGGTATGGTTGGTATGGTTTATATGGTTTATATGGTTTATATGGTTGATATGCTTGGTATGGTTGGTATGGTTTATATGGTTGATATGGTTGGTATGGTTTATATGTTTTATATGGTTTATATGGTTGATATGGTTTATATGGTTTATATGGTTGATATGGTTTATATGGTTTATATGGTTGATATGGTTTATATGGTTTATATGGTTGATATGGTTTATATGGTTTATATGGTTGTTATGCTTGGTATGGTTGGTATGGTTGGTATGGTTGGTATGGTTTATATGGTTGATATGGTTGGTATGGTTGGTATGGTTTATATGGTTTATATGGTTTATATGGTTGTTATGCTTGGTATGGTTGGTATGGTTGGTATGGTTTATATGGTTGATATGGTTGGTATGGTTTATATGGTTTATATGGTTGATATGGTTTATATGGTTTATATGGTTGATATGGTTTATATGGTTTATATGGTTTATATGGTTGTTATGCTTGGTATGGTTGGTATGGTTGGTATGGTTTATATGGTTGATATGGTTGGTATGGTTGGTATGGTTGGTATGGTTTATATGGTTGGTATGGTTGGTATGGTTGGTATGGTTTATATGGTTTATATGGTTTATATGGTTGTTATGCTTGGTATGGTTGTATGGTTTATATGGTTGATATGGTTGGTATGGTTTATATGTTTTATATGGTTTATATGGTTGATATGGTTTATATGGTTTATATGGTTGATATGGTTTATATGGTTTATATGGTTGATATGGTTTATATGGTTTATATGGTTGATATGGTTTATATGGTTTATATGGTTGTTATGCTTGGTATGGTTGGTATGGTTGGTATGGTTGGTATGGTTTATATGGTTGATATGGTTGGTATGGTTGGTATGGTTTATATGGTTTATATGGTTTATATGGTTGTTATGCTTGGTATGGTTGGTATGGTTGGTATGGTTTATATGGTTGATATGGTTGGTATGGTTTATGGTTTATATGGTTGATATGGTTTATATGGTTTATATGGTTGATATGGTTTATATGGTTTATATGGTTTATATGGTTGATATGCTTGGTATGGTTGGTATGGTTGGTATGGTTGGTATGGTTTATATGGTTGGTATGGTTGGTATGGTTGGTATGGTTTATATGGTTTATATGGTTGATATGGTTTATATGGTTTATATGGTTGATATGGTTTATATGGTTTATATGGTTGGTATGGTTGATATGGTTGGTATGGTTTATATGGTTTATATGGTTTATATGGTTGATATGCTTGGTATGGTTGGTATGGTTGGTATGGTTTATATGGTTGATATGGTTGGTATGGTTGGTATGGTTGGTATGGTTTATATGGTTGGTATGGTTGGTATGGTTGGTATGGTTGGTATGGTTTATATGGTTGGTATGGTTGGTATGGTTGGTATGGTTTATATGGTTTATATGGTTGATATGGTTTATATGGTTTATATGGTTGATATGGTTTATATGGTTTATATGGTTGATATGGTTGGTATGGTTTATATGGTTTATATGGTTTATATGGTTGTTATGCTTGGTATGGTTGGTATGGTTGGTATGGTTTATATGGTTGATATGGTTGGTATGGTTGGTATGGTTGGTATGGTTTATATGGTTGGTATGGTTGGTATGGTTGGTATGGTTTATATGGTTGGCCGTCATGACAAATGATCAAAAGGAAATTAGTAGTAGCAAAATTGCTTCCAACCAGCAAAACAATCAAAACCAGGGAGAGATTATTTTTTAAATAAAAATTTTCTATCAGAAATGGAGGAACAAAAGTTTTTTAAAAAGTAAAAAAAAAATGGAAATGAAGTCAGAGCTACTCCAACATGCTAGCATGTAGCTGGAGGATTACAGGGTTCATTTCTATAACTTGATGTCACCAAGATCACTGTTCTCTCCACAGAGCTGCATGGACCCTTCATTAATGTCAGCAGATCAGACTCTCCTCTAGGGTCAGAGGTCACCTGTTCAGCCACAGGTCAACCTGTTCCCATGGTAACACTGACTGTTCTCCATCAGAACCTCAGCTTCTCCGACAGCAACACCTGCAGAGAGACCAACACTAACGGTACCGTCACCGTCACCACTACAGCTCTGCTCTCAGCTCTCAGCAACACACAGGTTGGATGTTCAGTATCACTGGACTCTGCTGCTGTCAGAGATCTGCTGGTCATCGTTCCTGGACTCATTGATACGTCTGATGATGGTGAGGAACTTTCTAAGACTCCTTTGTTTTTTATTTAGTAACTAATGATGTATTTATGATCGTAAATGTTTGAATCTCTTTTACCAGGTCTGAATAACCAATCAGAGTCTTATCTCAGAGGTTTCAGTAAGTTCATGTTCAGATTCTCACATCTTCATTTTTGGCTTTGTTCTGTTGTTGAAACACATTTCATCTTCTTCCTAAAGGATGGCCTCTGATTGTTGTTGTCCTGGGGATCCTGATCCCTGTTGGTGTTTTACTATTCACAAAAATATCTGAGATGAGGTACTTTAATTAAAAAGTGTTTTTTGTTGTTGAGTTTCACATCATTAATGTCTCAGATTTGATTTGATTTACTGACTAAAATTATTCCCAGGTACAATGAACCTTCAACAAACACCACAGCCAATCAGAAATAAGGATTTATTTATTCATTCCTGTTACGCAGATGGAGATTTATCTCATATTTTATATTCCTTCTAATGTGATGCATACTCTCTATTTTCTAAATGCTATAAGGCAGATTTATTTCTCACATGTTCATTTTGTTTTTCAGTGCAGATAACTCACCAGTGTCGAGCTCAGAGATCAGACTACGAACATCTGAGAGCCAGAGACAAAACAGCGAGTCCCGTCCATCACCATGAAGATTTATCTAATCTTTTACATCCCTTAAATAATGGTATATACTCTATATTTCCTAAGCATTATAAGGCAGATTAATTTCTTATCAACATGTTAATTTTATTTTTAAGGTCTGGCATCTCATATCAAACTACGAACATCTCAGAGGCTGAGGCAAAACAGCTGTTTTTTTTACCTTGAGGGAAAACAGATGTTTGTTTTGCATTATATCTGTTAGCAGATTTTAATTCTTGCATTAACAAGATGTTGAGTTTTTGTTGCTGCTGGAAGGAGAGCACGAATGTGAGGAAATATTTATTTGTCTGTCTTTATCAATTTTATGTTTTTAAAATATAAAAACATGATTGTGTTTAGATTTTATTATTTGTGGGTTGATGTTTTCTCCCTCAATCAGAAGGTTGTGGGTTTGATTTCGGTTTCCAACTTGCCTTTTAATCTGTGTTTGTGAAAGTGAGCATTGGTGAGTGCCATTGAGCAAGTTTACCGATGTTTACCCATAGGAGTAATGGAGAAAGTTAGTTTTAACAAGCAAAAAGCCTCTGTGAAAATTTTTTGTGAGGATATAACCAGAAATGGAAAAATTCACATAACAGTAGATGAAACAAAACCAAACTGGAGCAAAAGACAGTTTAATATTCAGGGAAAAGAGGCATTTTTATTTATTTTTTGTTTTTTATGATGGCGACATAAATGTGTTGCTATTTGACTCTTACAAAAAATACAGCTAAGATAATCACTTCTTTATGTGAAGCCAGACAATAGATGTTAGAATATACATGACAAAAAACAATAAACAATAATCTGAATCTATGCAATGTTATGTATAGATTCTTCTGGATTTAAAATATGCACACGTTCATCTATATGTGGAGGTTCAAATATTAATGTAGAAAACGCACTTTAATTTCAGAATGTTATGAAGGATGGATTTTACCTTTTCCGAATCTGACAAACATTTCCAGTATTATAAGCAGAAATGAAGGAAAACAGCAAGTTACAGCTAAAGTAATGAATGTCATTGTTATTATTTATATGGGGGAAGAACATGAGTGAGACAAAAGAAGGAAATATGATGGATGACTTAAAATAATGAAGATTCTATGTACAAATTAAATAATGTTTTTTGTTATTATCATTATTAAACATTTTTTTGCATACTGTCTTCATTCAGTTACTCTATGGAGAAAAAACTGAAAAGTTTGAATTTACTTTCAGTCTCTAATTTACATTTTTCATCAGTTGAAACTACTGATGTCCCCTGTCTGTAAGCTTCAGTGACTATTACTCGTGAAGATGGAGCATTAAAAATATTTTTAAAATGTTCATTTTATTGTGTTTTTTTTTCCAGTTTCTTCTGCATATTCATCTCCAGATCTTTCCAGTCTTTTTCTCTGTAGTTCTTAGTTCTTGTTTTAGTTTGGAAACTTGTATTTTCTGTTTAGTTGTTTTTCTTACATGTTTTTTGTTCTCCAGTCACCATTTTAGTTCTAATCGTAATTATTTCTCATATCTCTTGTTTGCTTTAATGTATATCAGTCATTTTTTTCATCTCAACTTCAGCTCCTTGTATTGAGTCACAGCTGCAACCACTTTCTAACCAACCACTTGCTTCTTGCGTAAGAATCAACTCTCCATCTTAAACATCTGTTCATTACCAAAGGTTACCAGATTCACTGGAGTCTCTGGGTGCAGCATGCTCTCCTCCTGGATCAACATGGAGCCACTTTGGAGCAATCCTAACAATATCATTATGATGTCATTATTCACTCACTTTAAAATGTGGAAGGTGGAAATAAATGGATAAAATGTAAAAAAACAAACAAAAAAAAACAATAGAAAGCAAGTTAGTTTTTTCAAACTAAAATCACCCCCAAAAAACATTAATAGTCAAGACAGTTAAGGATGATAAAACATGTTCTACATAATGAGCATCTGGTTTGTGATGTTTAAGTTATTATAGTGTTAAAAGGCCTTAAAGATTAAGAAACGTGATGATGTTACGAATATATTTAAACGTTTCCTCTTCGGTCAGTATGCGAGAGTTTAGAGCGATGCGCGCTCCAGCCACATGGTGGCGCTTCACACCCCACAATGTGGGTTGTGAAGCGTCTCATTTCTCCCCTTTCAATTCTCCATCTCCACGTTGCGATGCCTCATGGACGGAATGTGTTTAATTTTGTGTCTTTTTACCCTCGGAGGATCATTTCAGAAAGGTGAGACAAACAAACACTGCTCAAGCTTTTTGTGCACAAAGTGGCTTTTGCTTGTTCTGATTGTTTTCTCATTTGTTCATAAATAAATGCGATCCGATCTGAATGAACGTTCTTAGTTTCAGTTGTAACAATGATGGCAATGAGCCAAGCCTCCTTCAAGCTGCTTTTTTCCTACACTCATTAAACGAGGGGGAAAAAAATCATCTTTTACCTACAATGGCATTAATTTTTTAAATAAATGTACTTCCACTAGTTTTACTGCTGCAGACTTTTTACCTGTTGAATAATATTTGATGTAAAGTCTGGCTTCAATTCCCATGTGCTGATGTTGTAGTTTATCTATAAAGTTTATCTTTATAGATAAAGCTGATCTTTATCTATAAAGATGAACAGTATTTAGTTACTGTAAATATTACAGTAACTAATTGTGGGTCTTAGTTTCAAATGTTTAATATTTACAAAAACAAAAACATCTTTGATTAGGGAATTTGTTTCTTGTACATTAGTTTGGTTTTTCTCTACTTCTGTTTATTACTATTGAATAATAATGATGCTTGGTTTAGTTTATCTTCTGTAGATAGTAGTTAGGTTTAGAAGATGTTGAGAAAAACAATGTTTTAATCACATTTACAGCAGAGAAATACACAACAGAGAACACCACATGTTCACTGTTAGGTTAAAGATTTACTGGTTAGGTGTGTCTGTATTTTACTAACTTATAGAGGTGAAGAGATCATCAGCTGCCAAACCAGACAGGAGGAACTGGGATGCAACACTAATAATAGATCCAGAAATACATGTTTTAATCACAACAGAGGTTCCAATGGAAACAAATAAAGCTGCATTTTGACTTGAATCACACAAAATAAAAGACTCAGACTTGACTTAGACTTTGGTTTTAGGACTCAGATCTTGAGAACATTTATGTCTCGTATAATTTCTTGCAGTAAGCCTCTGAAAAGATCATGCATTAATTTTGTATTTGGTTCACATCTTAGGGATGATGTTGCCTTAAGTTTTTGGACAGTCACTAGAGTTGTTGAGTAACTAATTAACACTGATCACATTGTGCAGGTGTCTGTAGAGACTGTGTCTCCTCAGGTTACATTTTGCAACTGTTACCAAAAAGACCTGAATTGGCTTTTAATGTCTGGTCTTATGCATTATTGAGAACAAAATGTATTTCAATCAAATTTCAACAAGGCTTTAGTCCGTTGACTTTCCCCAGACGTGTTCAGGCAGATTTCTCTTTTAGTTTCCACCATAGTATTGTGACCAGGTGTTGGTCTAGATGTTGTTGCTGCAGACAAAAATATTCCAAGTTTGTTTTTATAAAAATGCTCTCTCAAAATTATAATCATTTTATCAACAGCGATTTCACTGCTAAAAATCCAATGGAAGCAGCAATAGTTAATATCCATGGTTAATAAATGACATTGGGGAAATTTGGTCTGACTTTGTACATTAGAGAACCTGATAGAGACCAGATCATTTTATTAAGTCCTAATAACAAGGATATGTAAATAGATTATTACAAATCTGTTTGCGGGCAGCCCTTCAATAAAATTTCCACGTCTCTATTTTGAGAAACTAATTTCCACATCGTAAAGTTTTACTTGGGGCCACCAGAGAAAAAAAAGAAGTGAACTTGATTTGGTTTCCTTGTTGATATTAAGTTGCATCACACTTGGTTGTTTCTCAGTCCTTGTAATTTTCCATCCTAAGAACATACAGAGAATAAATCACAGCTCTCTTATGGAATGATACATGATATAAATAAAGATATCCTGATCCATTTCCTTTGATTATGTCCTGCAGGTCTAGCAGTTCTGATCCAAACCCAGCAGACGGTGTTGGCAGCAGTAGGAGAAGATGCTCCTCTCAGCTGTCATCTGCTGCAAACTAAAGACGTCCAGCAGGTCACCTGGCAGAAGGTCTTGGAGAAAACAGAGAGGAATATTGGATCCTACAGCGAGTATTTTGGTGAAACAGTGAATGACGGATTTAAAGATAAAGTTCAGTTTACAGAAGCTGGACTGCAGAAGAACTCGATAGTTATCAGGAATGTTACGGAGCAGGATGCAGGATGTTACCTGTGTCTGTTTAATGGATATCCTGATGGAGCTCTGACAGCTGGAACATGTCTGAAGGTTTATGGTGAGAACCTGAAAGTATCATAGATTTAACTTCTACAACTAGATATTAATCCTGATCTCTGTTCTCTCCACAGAGCTGCATGGACCCTTCATTAATGTCAGCAGATCAGAATCTCCTCCAGGGTCAGAGGTCACCTGTTCAGCCACAGGTCAACCTGTTCCCATGTTAACACTGACTGTTCTCCATCAGAACCTCAGCTTCTCCGACAGCAACACCTGCAGAGAGACCAACACTAACGGTACCGTCACCGTCACCACTACAGCTCTGCTCTCAGCTCTCAGCAACACACAGGTTGGATGTTCAGTATCACTGGACTCTGCTGCTGTCAGAGATCTGCTGGTCACCGTTCCTGGATTCACTGAGACGTCTGATGATGGTGAGGAACTTTCTAAGACTCCTTGTTTTTTATTTAGTAACTAATGATGTATTTATGATCGTAAATGTTTGAATCTCTTTTACCAGGTCTGAATAACCAATCAGAGTCTTATCTCAGAGGTTTCAGTAAGTTCATGTTCAGATTCTCACATCTTCATTTTTGGCTTTGTTCTGTTGTTGAAACACATTTCATCTTCTTCCTAAAGGATGGCCTCTGATTGTTGTTTTCCTGGTGATCCTGATCCCTATTGGTGTTTAGTATTCAGAAGAATATCTGAGATGAGGTACTTTAATTAAAAAGTGTTTTTGTTGTTGTTGAGTTTCACATCATTAATGTCTCAGGTTTGATTTGATTTACTGACTAAAATTATTCCCAGGTACATGGAACCTTCAGAAAACGCCACAGCCAATCAGAAGTAAGGATTTTATTTATTCATTCCTGTTACACAGATGGAGATTTATCTCATCTTTTACATCCCTTCTAATGTGATGCATAATCTCTAGTTCCTGAACACTATGAGGCAGATTTATTTCTCACATGTTCATTTTGTTTTTCAGTGCAGATAACTCACCAGTGTCGAGCTCAGACATCAGACTACGAACATCTGAGAGCCAGAGACAAAAGAGCGAGTCCCGTCCATTACCATGAAGATTTATCTAATCTTTTACATCCCTTAAATAATGGTATATACTCTATATTTCCTAAGCATTATAAGGCAGATTAATTTCTTATCAACATGTTCATTTTATTTTTAAAATTACATCACATCAAACTACAAACATCTGAGAGCCAGAGACAAAAGAGCGAGTCCCGTCCATTACCATGACCACAGAATGACCTCATTTGGATGTCTGATTAAGAGGACTTTCATCCAAAGATGTATAAGAAACATTATACATATTTCATGCACATAGTATCATTTCAAAGCTGATCAATAATCTTTAGTTTTTACAAATGTATTGTTCTTATCAGAAATGATCTATAACTTACTGGTTGCCACTGGAGACTCCAGAATTTGTCAGACATGCATCAATGTGTCAATGCAAGGCTGCAGGTGTGATTTTTAAAGATGGAACCACATTACAACATGATATAGAGCTCAAATTAGTAGATTTTACAATTCTGATCAAATCGGATAAAATTAAAATGTCAAACTAGATATTGATACTAAGAAAATACTCATTATTATGTTTGATAATGACACAACTCTTTTAAAGTGACAGAGATCTTTTTAGTTAAGAAAGACAAATGAAATGTATTCAGCAGCAACTGTATTATTAGATTGTAGCATTAGCACATTAGCGCTTTAGTGTTCAGCATAAGTTTTTCACTTTCTCCTTTTATCAAACAGCTGTTGTTTTTTTTACCTTGAGGGAAAACAGATATTTGTTTTGCGTTTATATCTGTTAGCAGATTTTAATTCTTGCATTAACAAGATGTTGAGTTTTTGTTGCTTCTGGAAGAAGAGCACGAATGTGAGGAAATATTTATTTGTCTGTCTTTATCAATTTTATGTTTGAATAATTCCTTTTTCTAGTACTGATTGTGTTTGGATTTTAGTACTGATTGTGTTTAGATTTTTATTATTTTGTGGGTTGATGTTTTCTCCCTCAATCAGATCGTTGTGGGTTTGATTTCGGTTTCCAACTTGCCTTTTAATCTGTGTTTGTGAAAGTGAGCATTAGTGAGTGCCATTGAGCAAGTTTACCAATGTTTACCCAAAGGAGTAATGGAGAAAGTTAGTTTCAACAAGCAAAAGGTCTGTGAAAATTTTTGTGAGGATATAACCAGAAATGGAACAAGTAACTTACATAACAGTAGATGAAACAAAACCAAACTGGAGCAAAAGACAGTTTAATATTCAGGGAAAAGAGGCATTTTTATTTATTTTTTGTTTTTTATGATGGCGACATAAATGTGTTGCTATTTGACTCTTACAAAAAATACAGCTAAGATAATCACTTCTTTATGTGAAGCCAGACAATAGATGTTAGAATATACATGCAAAAAACAATAAACAATAATCTCAATCTATGCGATGTTATGTATAGATTCTTCTGGATTTAAAATATGCACATGTTCATCTATATGTGGAGGTTCAAATATTAATGTAGAAAACACACTTTGATTTCAGAATGTTATGAAGGATGGATGTTACCTTTTACAAATCTGACAAACATTTCCAATATTATAAGCAGAAATGAAGGAAAACAGCAAGTTACAGCTAAAGTAATGAATGTCATTGTTATTATTTATATGGGGGAAGAACATGAGTGAGACAAAAGAAGGAAATATGATGGATGACTTAAAATAATGAAGATTCTATGTACAAATTAAATAATGTTTTTTTTTGTTATTATCATTATTAAACATTTTTTTGCATACTGTCTTCATTCAGTTACTCTATGGAGAAAAAACTGAAAAGTTTGAATTTACTTTCAGTCTCTAATTTACATTTTTCATCAGTTGAAACTACTGATGTCCCCTGTCTGTAAGCTTCAGTGACTATTACTCGTGAAGATGGAGCATTAAAAATATTTTTAAAATGTTCATTTTATTGTGTTTTTTTTCCAGTTTCTTCTGCATATTCATCTCCAGATCTTTCCAGTCTTTTTCTCTGTAGTTCTTAGTTCTTGTTTTAGTTTGGAAACTTGTATTTTCTGTTTAGTTGTTTTTCTTACACATTTTTTGTTCTCTAGTCACCATTTTAGTTCTAATCGTAATTATTTCTCATATCTCTTGTTTGCTTTAATGTATATCAGTCATTTTTTTCATCTCAACTTCAGCTCCTTGTATTGAGTCACAGCTGCAACCACTTTCTAACCAGCCAATTGCTTCTTGTGTAAGAATCAACTCTCCATCTTAAACATCTGTTTATTACCAAAGGTTACCAGATTCCCTGGAGTCTCTGGGTGCAGCATGCTCTCCTCCTGGATCAACATGGAGCCACTTTGGAGCAATCCTAACAATATCATTATGATGTCATTATTCACTCACTTTAAAATGTGGAAGGTGGAAATAAATGGATAAAATGTAAAAAAACAAACAAAAAAAAACAATAGAAAGCAAGTTAGTTTTTTCAAACTAAAATCACCCCCAAAAAACATTAATAGTCAAGACAGTTAAGGATGATAAAACATGTTCTACATAATGAGCATCTGGTTTGTGATGATTTAAGTTATTATAGTGTTAAAAGGCCTTAAAGATTAAGAAACGTGATGATGTTACGAATATATTTAAACGTTTCCTCTTCGGTCAGTATGCGAGAGTTTAGAGCGATGCACGCTCCAGCCACAGGGGGGCGCTATTGTCGTCACCTCACACCCCACAGTGTGGGTTGTGAAGCGTCTCATTTCTCCCCTTTCAATTCTCCATCACCAGGTTGCGATGCCTCATGGACGGAATGTGTTTTATTTTGTGTCTTTTTACTCTCGGAGGATCATTTCAGAAAGGTGAGAGAAACAAACACTGCTCAAGCTTTTTGTGCACGAAGTGACTTTTGCTTGTTCTGATTGTTTTCTCATTTGTTCATAAATAAATGCGATCCGATCTGAATGAACGTTCTTAGTTTCAGTTGTAACAATGATGGCACTGAGCCAAGCCTCCTTCAAGCTGCTTTTTTACTACACTCATTAAACCGGGGGGAAAAAAACAAAAAACTTTTACCTACAATGGCATTAATTTTTTAAATAAATGTACTTCCACTAGTTTTACTGCTGCAGACTTTTTACCTGTTGAATAATATTTGATGTAAAGTCTGGCTTCAATTCCCATGTGCTGAGATGTAGTTTATCTATAAAGTTTATCTTTATAGATAAAGCTGATCTTTATCTATAAAGATGAACAGTATTTAGTTACTGTAAAATATTACAGTAACTAATGGTGGGTCTTAGTTTCCAATGTTTAATATTTACAAAAACAAAAACATCTTGATTAGGGAATTTGTTTCTTGTACCTTAGTTTGGTTTTTCTCTACTTCTGTTTATTACTATTGAATAATAATGTTGCTTGGTTTAGTTTGTCTTCGGTGGATAGAAGTTAGGTTTAGAAGATGTTGAGAAAAACAATGTTTTAATCACATTTACAGCAGAGAAATACACAATAGAGAACGCCACATGTTCACTGTTCAGTTATAGATTTACTGGTTAGGTGTGTCTGTATTTTACTAACGTATAGAGGTGAAGAGAACATCAACTGCCAAACCACACAGGAGGAACTGGGATGTCGACACTAACAATAGATCCAGAAATACATGTTTTAATCATAACAGAGGTTCCAACGGAAACAAATGAAGCTGCATTTTAACTTGAATCACACAAAATAAAAGACTCAGAAGTGACTTAGACTTTGGTTTTAGGACTCAGATCTTGAGAACATTTATGTCTTCAATCAAATCAATCAATCAATCAATCAGATTTTATTTGTATAGCACCAGAAGACCTGAGAGGTCTGGAAGGTTGATACAACAACAGCAGATCTTTGATGTATTGTGGTGCTAAACCGTTCAGTGATTTATAAACTAACAACAGTATTTTAAAATCTATTCTTTGAGCTACAGGGAGCCAGTGGAGGGACTTTAAAACTGGTGTTATGTCTCTATCTTCCTGGTTCTAGTGAGAATGCGAGCAGCAGCTTCTGGATCAACTGCAGCTGTTTGATTGATTTGTTGGACAGACCTGTGAAGATGCTGTTACAATAATCAATGCGACTAAAGATAAACGCATGAATGAGTTTCTCTAGATCTGGCTGAGACATTATTCCTCTAATCCTGGAGATGTTCTTCAGGTGATAGAAGGCCGACTTTGTAATTGTCTTTATGTGGCTCTGAAGGTTCAGGTCAGAGTCCATCACTACCCCCAGGTTTCGGGCCTGATCGCTAGTTTTTAGTTGTAATTGAAGCTGTGCATTGACTTTAGATCGTTTCTCTTTAGGTCCAAAAATAATGACTTCAGTTTTGTTTCTGTTCAGCTGGAGAAAGTTTTGGCACATCCACACATTTAACATTTCTTGCAGTAAGCCTCTGAAAAGATCATGCATTAATTTTGTATGTGTTTCACATCTTAGGGATGATGTTGCCTTAAGTTTTTGGACAGTCACTAGAGTTGTTGAACAATAAAATTGCTTAATAAGGAACAGACAAAGAAGGTCATAGATCAGATGTTGCTTAACTTCATCAAGATTAACTGTGAGAAAACAAGACAGCTTTGAGTTGTGACATAATTAACACTGATCACATTGTGCAGGTGTCTGTAGAGACTGTGTCTCCTCAGGTTACATTTTGCAACTGTTACCAAAAAGACCTGAATTGGCTTTTATGCATTATTGAGAACAAAATGTATTGCAATCAAATGTCATCTGCAGGAAAATACAACAGATTTCTCACTATAATGCATTAAAGAAATGAGTAAAAATATATTTTACACCTTCTAGAAGCACATTAAGCTGCAGTAACTCAGTTCTTCTTCTTTGTTATATGATAGTTGGTGAGGAATGTTGTTTTTAATAACAAGGCTTTAGTTCATTGACTTTCCCAGACGTGTTCAGGCAGATTTCTCTTTTAGTTTCCACCATAGTATTGTGACCAGGTGTTGGTCTAGATGTTGTTGCTGCAGACAAAAATGTTCCAAGTTCTTGTTTTTATAAAAATGCTCTCTCAAAATTATAATCATTTTATCAACAGTGACTTCACTGCTAAAAATCCAATGGAAGTAGCAATAGTTAATATCCATGGTTAATAAATGACATTGGGGAAATTTGGTCTGACTTTGTACATTAGAGAACCTGATAGAGACCAGATCATTTTATTAAGTCCTAATAACAAGTATATGTAAATAGATTACTACAAATCTGTTTGCGGGCAGCCCTTCAATAAAATTTCCATGTCTGTATTTTGAGAAACTAATTTCCACATCGTAACGTTTTACTTGGGGCCACCAGAGAAAAAAAAGAAGTGAAACTGATTTGGTTTCCTTGTTGATATTAAGTTGCATCACACTTGGTTGTTTCTCAGTCCTTGTAATTTTCCATCCTAAGAACATACAGAGAATAAATCAAAGCTCTCTTATGGAATGATACATGATATAAATAAAGATATCCTGATCCATTTCCTTTGATTATGTCCTGCAGGTCTAGCAGTTCTGATCCAAACCCAGCAGACGGTGTTGGCAGCAGTAGGAGAAGATGCTCCTCTCAGCTGTCATCTGATGATAACTAAAGACGTCCAGCAGGTCACCTGGCAGAAGGTCTTGAAGAAACAGAGAGGAATATTGGTTCCTACAGCGAGTATTTTGGTGTAACAGTGAATGACGGATTTAAAGATAAAGTTCATTTTGCAGAAGCTGGACTGCAGAAGAACTCGATAGTTATCAGGAATGTTACGGAGCAGGATGCAGGATGTTACCTGTGTCTGTTTAATGCATATCCTGATGGAGCTCTGACAGCTGCAACATGTCTGAAGGTTTATGGTGAGAACCTGAAAGTATAAATTCAAGAATACATTATTTAGGCCAAAGGGGAATCAAATATAACTCATATTATTCAGGCTTCTATAAAGAGAAGCTCATGAAAGAGTCATATGTGACAGTCAGCAGTTCTAGAAAACCTTCTGACTAGAGACACTGTTTCATTGTGCAACACTGAATTGAGTCACTGTGAGTAACACAATCATCCCCAGAACAGAACCAGCCGTCTTCATCAGACTGTTGAGCCTTTTGGGTGCTGGACTCTCATAGACGATATGCAGCATCTCTGCAATCACTGAAGGATCTGAGCTTCCTTAAGAAGTGAAGTCCACTCTGTCCCTTCTTGTAGTTTTATTTTTCCAACTCCAGTCCAAGTTGTTGTCCCACCGAACACTGAGGTATTTATAATCCCCAACCACCTCCACATCTTGAAGGACAGAAAAACTGTCAAACGAAAGGAAGGTAGGACGTCTGTTTGGCTTGGGACAGGAGAATTCAGACTTTCATCTGTCAAATTCTGCTTTGGCTTGAAACTTGTGATCGTCTTCATGCCTGACCTCACATCTCTAATATTTTTGGATTTGTCAAGAGAGGGTCTTGCTTCAAAGACGTGTGCATCTCTGACATTTACATAAAAATTTTTTTAAAAAGCCAACGCCTTGACAGCTGTCCATTTGCAGCTGACAGAGCAGCTGCAAGTTGTTTAAATGTATATTGAGGCGTGACTCAAGTTCACAAATTTTGCCTTTGCGGTGTCACATCTGTTGCTTTGTAACAACTGCACTGATGAAACTGCGCATCGTCAATAGCAGCTGAGGTTGGAATGTGAGCAGTTCTGAAAATAACACTGGTGAACTCTTTAGATAAATAATAATGGAAACTAAACTTACTTCAAACATGGAAACGACACTTCACAGCAACATGTACTGGATGACACCATATATTGTTCATAAGCACTGCTGATCCACCTCCTTTGCTTTTGCAGTGGTATTTTAGATCTTTGTCGTGTAGTCAGAAAGTCCAGTAGAGAGATGGTGAAGTCAGATTATCTGGAAGCCATGTGTCTAAAAAATGCAGGAGATATAAATAACAGTCACACCTGTTGTAAGCCGATTGCTTGGTATGTTGGGCAGTAATGACAAATGGTCAAAAGGAAATCAGTAGTAGAAAAACTGCTTCCAACCAGCAAAACAATCAAAAACAGGGTGAGATTATTTTTGAAAAATGAAATTTTTCTATCAGAAATTGAGGAACAAAAGTTTTTTTAAAAAGTGACAAATAATGGTACGGAAGTCACAGAGCTACTCCAACATGCTAGCATGTAGCTGGAGGATTATAAGGTTCATTTCTATAACTTGATGTCACCAAGATCTCTGTTCTCTCCACAGAGCTGCATGGACCCTTCATTAATGTCAGCAGATCAGACTCTCCTCCAGGGTCAGAGGTCACCTGTTCAGCCACAGGTCAACCTGTTCCCATGTTAACACTGACTGTTCTCCATCAGAACTTCAGTTTCTCTGACAGCAACACCTGCAGAGAGACCAACACTAACGGTACCGTCACCGTCACCACTACAGCTCTGCTCTCAGCTCTCAGCAACACACAGGTTGGATGTTCAGTATCACTGGACTCTGCTGCTGTCAGAGATCTGCTGGTCACCGTTCCTGGATTCACTGAGACGTCTGATGATGGTGAGGAACTTTCTAAGACTCCTTTGTTTTTTATTTAGTCACTAATGATGTATTTTTGATTGTAAATGTTTGAATCTCTTTTACCAGGTCTGAATAACCAATCAGAGTCTTATCTCAGAGGTTTCAGTAAGTTCATGTTCAGATTCTCACATCTTCATTTTTGGCTTTGTTCTGTTGTTGAAACACATTTCATCTTCTTCCTAAAGGATGGCCTCTGATTGTTGTTGTTGTCCTGGTGATCCTGATCTGTATTGGTGTTTTAGTATTCAGAAGAATATCTCTAACCAGGTACTTTAATTAAAGTTTTTGTTTTGTTGTTGAGTTTCACATCATTAATGTCTCAGGTTTGATTTTTGATTTACTGACTAAAATTATTCCCAGGAATATGGAACCTTCAGAAAATGCCACAGCCAATCAGAAGTAAGGATTTTATTTATTCATTCCTGTTACACAGATGGAGATTTATCTCATCTTTATATTCCTTCTAATGTGATGCATACTCTCTATTTCCTGAACGCTATAAAGCAGATTTATTTCTCACATGTTCATTTTGTTTTTAAGTGCAAATAATTCACCAGTGTCGAGCTCAGAGGACAAACCACGAACACCTGAGAGCCAGAGACAAATCAGCGATTCCCGTCCATCACCATGACATGTTTTTCCAAAAAATTGTTACCTTGAATAATTACAAAAATACTTTTCATGTCAGAAATAATACACAATATTCTGTTATTTCTCAAACAAGTATGAATTTGTTGAGGTACGTTTTTGATGCCAACAGTAATTAATCAATATCTGATCAAATTGATAAGGCAGCTAAACTCAAGCTAATTGAATCAAAGCCCGTTACCAATTTCTTGACCAAGTAATAAATACTGTTTACAGGGACTAATTTGATTGTTTAGATGTTAGATGTTAGATGCAATTCCCTTTTCAGGAATTGTTTGGTTTTATATTGTTTTTTTACTGTTTTTATACATCTTTTTTTACATGAATATTTTGATTCGTAAAAAAAAGCCTCATTTGATCAATTGGTAAAAATAATTTTTAATTTAGAAATTGAAAATTAAGAAGCCTTCTTGTTGTAACCGTTTTAGGTTTCTGATTGTATTTTACTCTAAACTTGAAACCAGAATGTATTTGGTTTTGTTTTACCAGGTATTGTTGTGTTAATGTGTGTTTTCTGATTTCCTGTAAGCTCATTAAAAAGCACTGTTTGATTTGGCGTCAGGGTTGTGTTATAGTCTTTATCTGCCTGTGCCTCTGTGGTTCCATATCTTTGATATTATTGCTGAATTTCAATATAATTAACTCAAACCATCAAGACGTATTTTTAACCAAGATTGATTCAGTCTGCTTTCTGTCTAGACTAGCAGATTTACAGAGAACACAAGGTCAAAGGTCTTAACCGTCATTTACAAAAAATAAATAATGAAAATAATCTAACAAAAACATTTCCTTTTCTTAGAGTCCATTGGGGAAAACTGTGTGGTGTGAACTGGGCTCGGAATTTAATATTAGGATTTTATCTATTTATGTATTTTTAAATTGACTCTGTGGTCACGTGACGTAAACGTCATAACCGGAAGTGAAAGTAAACAGTTTTTGGCGGCACAGACATTCAAATCCAGATGAACGTTTAACCGAAATAGTTCGCGCTGTTTGCTCAGTTTTTGAATCAGAATTAAATTATAATTGTGTTTAATATTCAAATGAAATTCACATGGAGATCATATCAGCTGCACCGGTTGTGTTTTTCCTGTTGGGAATCTGGAATGAAGGTGAGATCAGAGCATTTAAACTGGGGACAGTTTTGTGAATTAAAGACGTTTTTAACTTCTGTATTTTGATAATATTTTAAAATTACAGCAAACAAGTGAACAACGTTTTGGCGGGGGATAATTTCTTGTATTTGTTACAGCATGTAAAGGTTTTCGTGCTCTGCATTTTGTCCTATTTCAAACCCAAACTCAAGTTTATTTAATGCAAGAGATTCTTTTTTTTGCAAATATAAATCTGAAAAGTGTGGCGTGCATTTCTGCTGAAGCTGCTTCACTTTATTATCTCTACAGTAACATAAAGTGCAACCGACTGCATTACAAAATAAAAGTCAAACATGTGATGTCAACTCGTTTTTAGCAGTTAGTTACAACATGGCCTTTAATGACTACTGGACCTTTCTGCCCACTTTGACTATCAAAATGGCTCATTCATGCTGCAACTGTTGCATATCTACAACATTCAACTCTATATTGAAGTTTGTGGTTGAGACATGACAAAGTGAAACATCTAAATCGTTTTGCACGGTACTTTTTTCGTAAAAGCCAGATACAGAACATCTGATCTCCTTCATACAGGTCTAGCAGTTCTGATCCAAACCCAGCAGACGGTGTTGGCAGCAGTAGGAGAAGATGCTCCTCTCAGCTGTCAGCTGATGATAACTAAAGACGTCCAGCAGGTCACCTGGCAGAAGGTCTTGGAGAAAACAGAGAGGAATATTGGATCCTACAGCGAGTATTTTGGTGAAACAGTGAATGACGGATTTAAAGATAAAGTTCAGTTTACAGAAGCTGGACTGCAGAAGAACTCGATAGTTATCAGGAATGTTACGGAACAGGATGCAGGATGCTACCTGTGTCTGTTTAATGGATATCCTGATGGAGCTCTGACAGCTGCAACATGTCTGAAGGTTTATGGTGAGAACCTGAAAGTATCATAGATTTAACTTCTATAACTAGATATTAATCCTGATCTCTGTTCTCTCCACAGAGCTGCATGGACCCTTCATTGATGTCAGCAGATCAGAATCTCCTCCAGGGTTGGTGGTGACCTGTTCAGCCACAGGTCAACCTGTTCCCATGGTAACACTGACTGTTCTCCATCAGAACCTCAGTTTCTCCGACAACAACACCTGCAGAGAGACCAACACTAACGGTACCGTCACCGTCACCACTACAGCTCTGCTCTCAGCTCTCAGCAACACACAGGTTGGATGTTCAGTATCACTGGACTCTGCTGCTCCCAGAGATCTGCTGGTCATCGTTCCTGGACTCATTGATACGTCTGATGATGGTGAGGAACCGTTTGAAAGGCTCTCATTGGATTCTTTTTCAGTGACTGGTCTATTTGACATGTTTTAATCTCATTTGTCAGGGTTGGTCAAACATTGTCGATCGTATTGCCACACCCTTCGTAAGTACATGCCGAGATTCCCACATATGGAGTTTTCAGATGTTTCTGTCATTGAAATGTATCTCATCTGTTTTTTTCTTTTGCTTTAAAGATTTGCCTTTGATTGCTGCAGTCATGTCAGTCGTGGTTTGTTTCGCCATCCTGCTCGGAATAAGATTTCAGAGAAGGTACGTCCATCAGTGGTTTTGTTGCTCTGTTTTTTTCCTCACTAAAGTCACAAAAACATTTCTTTTCTGCCTGTTAAATCAGCCACAGGAATAAGAAACCTTCAGAGGACTCCACAGAAAACCAAAAGTAAGGATTTGATTGATCTATTCCTCCTTCACATGATATAAAGAACATCAGTTTCCAATGTCCAGCACTGTTAGTGTCTTACTAACATATTGTGATTTGTTTTAAGGATGAACGTCTCACCAGCGTCGAGCAACAACCTCAGACAACGATCACCTGAAAAACAAAAATTAAACGGTGGATTATATCCATCGCCATGACAACAGGAGCACGACATTTTGACCTTTTTGTTTGGGTAACTCAGCAATATCTGATCAGACCGATCAGACTGATTTGGCAGCTAATCCTGAAGTTAATTGGATGAAAACCGATAATCGAGTTTTTGTCTCTGTTCCATTGAACAACAATCAGTGTTTAGAAGAGCATCAAATGTTTTCTGATTATGTGTTGTTTTCAGTGATGCTTTTTTTGTTTGTTTTGTCCATCAAATTTGATCAAAGATGGCGACAAAACATTTCTTGTAACCATGCCGTTAAACAAAAGAAACATACTTGCACCTCTTCAAGTATTGCCTGATTGTTTTCCTGCTTTTTTTAAATAATGGTCTCCCATTTCTTTGTTTTGAAATGTTTTTTTATTTTTACAAAAAATATACAGAAGAATTTTTTTTTTTACTGAAGGTAATTAATGCATCTACATCACAAATTAGTCAAATGTCAAAGTTGCTGGTGTTGAAACTGTGAAACTATGAGGACTTTAGATATTTTGGATCTTTGTAACTCATTAATGAAAAGCCAGAAAGTAGAATGTTTTAATAAAGATATTGAAATAAAGATTTAACAAAACAGAGAAATCAATATTTTTGTATCTTTTCTTTTACGTTCATTTCAAGCTACGTAAACTTGGAATTACAGGCAAAGAAAAACAAAGTATCATCTTCAAACAGATGTAAAATAAAGTGCATTATTTTTTATGTTCTTTTTCAGCTGTTTTATTGTAAATGAATGAATGAATGTACTTTATTAATCTCGGAGTCAGTACTGACACAACCTGAGCCTTTACACATGTTGCATCACACATTAGAAATAGAGGAAAATTAATAAAAATGTATAAGGACTGATTGAAAATTTTGATTGATTTGATACAAGAATGATTTTTTTTTTCTTAGTCACTTTAGTTTGTATTATCTTAAATATGACAGAACTGCAAACAAATTTTGCATTTTCTCAACAAACAATAAAATATTCTCATATTATATTTAGCGCTTTGAAATGAAAACCAATTTTGCTCGTTTTTTTAATGTCTTTTTAATTCATTTGATGTATTTCAATGGATTGTCATTTTAAAACGGAAAAATAAAACAGAACTATTTAAGTTTGGTAAATGGCCAGCAGAGGTCGCTGTCTATTCCACTCAGGCTCTGCAGCTTTTATGTCGTCCAAGAAAAAAAAAGAGTCAATGGAGGGCGCATGCGCACGGCTGCGGCATTTGTGCGCATGACCGAATTAATTTGAAATTCTGGCGCACAAAAAATGTCACGCTGTGTGTTTCTCTTGTTGGGAATCCTTATTGAAGGTAAGATTAGAACATTTTTTGTTTTTCACAGCCTCCTGCTAAAATGCAGCAGCTGCGCACAGCTTGTTAAAGATGATTTAACTTTTGAAGTTTGCTCCTGCTGAAATGAAAGTAAAAAGCTCACACATCGTATTTGGAGCTGCTCTCATTTTTTTTTTTTTTTTTTTTGCAGTCGTGCTGCACAGACTTCTATTATATGTTATAAATATATAACGGCGTTTCACATCATTAATGTCTCAGGTTTGATTTGATTTACTGACTAAAATTATTCCCAGGAATATGGAACCTTCAGAAAACACCACAAACAATCAGAAGTAAGGATTTTATTTATTTATTCATTCCTGTTACACAGATGGAGATTTATCTCATCTTTTACATCCCTTCTAATGTGATGCATACTCTCTATTTCCTGAACGCTATAAGGCAGATTTATTTCTCACCAACATGTTCATTTTGTTTTTAAGTGCAGACAACTCACCAGTGTCGAGCTCAGAGGACAAACCACGAACACCTGAGAGCCAGAGACAATTCAGCGAGTCCCGTCCATCACCATGACATGTTTTTCCAAAGACATGATGTGATCAAAAAATTGTTACTTTGAGTTATTACAAAAATACTTTTTATGTCAGAAATAATACACAACATTTCTCAAACATGCATGAATGTGTTCAGGTATGTTTTTGATGCCAACAATAATTAATCAATATCTGATCAAATTGATAAGGCAGCTAAACTCAAGTTAATTGAATGAAAGCCCGTTACCAAGTTCTTGACCAAGTAATAAATATTGTTTTCAGGGACTAATTTGATTGTTTAGATGTTAGTCTTTTATTTATTTCCTTTTCAGGAATTGTTTGGTTTTATATTGTTTTTTTACTGTTTTTATACATCTTTTTTTACATGAATATTTTTATTCGTAAAAAAAAAAATCTCTCATTTGATCAGTTGGTAAAAATATTTTTTAATTTAGAACTTGAGAATTAAGAAGCCTTTTTATCAGTACCCATTTTAAGTTTCTCAGTGTATTTCACTTCAGTTTAGCAAGATGCTAAACTGTGTTAAGAATTAAAAAGAGCAATAACTTGATTTAGCTCGTTAATTTATTCCTCTTGTCCTGGATTTCTGTGTTTCAATATATGTGCAGGGAGAAAGAGCAATCATACGACGTCAGACTTCAGACTTCAGATATCCAGAGTTTTATCCAGAGAAAATCAGTGCAAGAAGAATGTTACAATAAGCATCTCACCTAGATCATCAAAAGTCCAAGACATGACAAAACAGAAACAATTAACCGAGTAAAAAAGGGAAAAAGAAACAAAAGATGCATCTTTTGGGAAACTCTCACTCAGCACAAAGAGATTCGGACTTCTGATGTAAAACAAACCATTTTATAAGAATGTGTATTCTCCTTATTTAAATATATGCATTAGGAGGTGTGTTTTTTCCTTTGTGTGGGCTGTCTTAATGTTAATTTTATTACCTCTGAGACCCACTGAAACACCCAGCTCTTCTCGTACCAGCCTCTGTCCAGACTGATGTATGATATTCAGCTGCAGCGTTATCTCTGCCTCAAAATGCTTCAACAAGTAACCAGTTGGTGTTTTTAACCAAGCTTGCACAAAATGTAATGCTAAATAATGACTATAAGTTTGGATCTAAGAAGTAACTAATTAAAAACATGCTTTTTAAAGCTTAAAGAAATATATTAATATGTTTGATTATATGTTGTAACAGACTTCTATAGTTTTTAATGTTTGCCTGAACTATTCAACCCTGAGTAAAGAATTTATTGCCCTGATAGCCAATACACTCCCTGTCTGAAATGCTCCTTAGGGAGTATAAGACTGCTTTCTGATTAGAAATTTATGTAAGTTCAGAGATTCACCAGTTGTCTTAGTTTGGATTTGTATCTAAGTTTATCTTAACGTAAACGTTAACTTGTGTACTATTGTGCTACTTTGAAATTCTATTTCAACAACTGGAAACCAGAATGTATTTGGTTTTGTTTTTCCAGGTATTGTTGTGTTAATGTGTTTTCTGATTGCCTGTAAGAACATTAAAAAGCACTGTTTGATTTGGCAACAGGGTTGTGTTATAGTCTTTATCTGCCTGTGCCTCTGTGGTTCCATATCTTTGATATTATTGCTGAATTTCAATATAATTAACTCAAACCATCAAGACGTATTTTTAACCAAGATTGATTCAAACTGCTTTCTGTCTAGACTAGCAGATTTACATTCAAATAAAAATGTTGCATAAAACCAAGGAAGCAGAGAACACAAGGTGGTCTTAAACGTCATTTACAAAAAATAAATAATAAAAATAATCTAACAAAAACATTTACTTTTGTTAGACTCCATTGGGAAAAACTGTGTAGTGTGAACTGGGCTTGGAATTTAATATCAGGATTTTATCTATTTATGTATTTTGAAATTGACTGCGGTCCCGTGACATAAACGTCATAACCGGAAGTGAAAGTAAACAGTCGTGTAGTGGCGCAGTGCAGTTGTTCAAATCCAGATGAACGTTTCAGGTTAAATAGTTCGCGCTGTTTGCTCAAATTTTGAATCGGAATTAAATTCTAGTTTATTTCAGTTTCGTGCTTCATTCCTTCAGCTTCTCGTTGTGTTTAATATTCAGATGAAATTCCCATGGAGATCATATCAGCTGCACCGGTTGTGTTTTTCCTGTTGGGAATCTGGAATGAAGGTGAGACCAGAACATTTTATGCTAAAATGCAGCAGCTGGGGACAGTTTTGTGAATTAAAGTCGTTTTTAGTTTCTGTATTTTGATAATGTTTTAAATTACAGCAAACAAGTGAACAATGTTTAGCAGGAGATCATTTCCTGTATTTGTTACAGCATGTAAAACAGGGTGTTAACATCCGGTCCTCGAGTGCCGGTGTTCTGCAACTTTTAGATGTGCCTCTGCTGCACCACAGCTGAATAGAATAATTAGGTCATTAGCAAGGCTCTGGAGAACTGATCTACACAAGGAGGAGGTAATTAAGCCATTTTATTCCTGTGTTTTGTATCTGTGGCACATCCAAAAACTGCAGGACAGAGGTCCTCGAGGACTGGAGTTTGACACCCCGGATGTAAAGGTTTTCGTGCTCTGCATTTTGTCCTATTTTAAACCCAAACTCAAGCATAAGTAATGCAAGAGACTTTTTTTTTCTTCTTCTTCTTTTTTTTACAAATATAAATCTGAAAAGTGTGGCATGCATTTTAGCATACAGGTCATCTGATCTCCTTCATGCAGGTCTAGCAGTTCTGATCCAAACCCAGCAGACGGTGTTGGCAGCAGTAGGAGAAGATGCTCCTCTCAGCTGTCAGCTGATGATAACTAAAGACATCCAGCAGGTCACCTGGCAGAAGGTCTTGGAGAAAAGAGAGAGGAATATTGGATCCTACAGCGAGTATTTTGGTGAAACAGTGAATGATGGACTTAAAGATAAAGTTCAGTTTACAGAAGCTGGACTGCAGAAGAACTCGATAGTTATCAGGAACGTTACGGAGCAGGATGCAGGATGCTACCGGTGTCTGTTTAATGGATATCCTGATGGAGCTCTGACAGCTGCAACATGTCTGAAGGTTTATGGTGAGAACCTGAAAGTATAAATTCAAGAATACATTATTTAGGCCAAAGGGGAATCAAATATAACTCATATTATTCAGGCTTCTGTAAAGAGAAGGTCATGACTGTGAGCAGAAAGGGTCATAATGTGACAGTCAGCAGTTCTAGAAAACCTTCTGACTAGAGACACTGTTTCATTGTGGAACACTGAATTGAGTCACTGTGAGTAACACAATCATCCCCAGAACAGAACCAGCCGTCTTCATCAGACTGTTGAGCCTTTTGGGTGCTGGACTCTCATAGACGATATGCAGCATCTCTGCAATCACTGAAGGATCTGAGCTTCCTTAAGAAGTGAAGTCCACTCTGTCCCTTCTTGTAGCTTTATTGTTCCAACTCCAGTCCAAGTTGTTGTCCAAGTGAACACCGAGGTATTTATAATTAATCAATAAAATTTTATTTGTATAGCACATTTCAGCAAGGCATTTCAAAGTGCTTTACATCATAAACACAAGAACACAAAGTCATGCAACATATAATAGACAATACATTGTTACATATTACATTTCAAATGAAACTCTAAACAGGTGTGTTTTTAGTTGCGATTTAAAAGCAGTCAGGGTTTCCGCTGTTTTACAGTTGTCTGGAAGTTTGTTCCAAAGTTTTGGTGCATAGATGCTGAAAGCTGCTTCTCCTCTCTTGGTTCTGGTTCTGGGGATGCAGAGCAGACCAGAACCAGAAGACCTGAGAGGTCGGGAAGGTTGACACAACAACAGCAGATCTTTGATGTATTGTGGTGCTAAACCATTCAGTGATTTGTAAACTAACAACAGTATATTAAAGTCTATTCTTTGAGCTACAGGGAGCCAGTGGAGGGACTTTAAAACTGGTGTTATGTGCTCTATTTTCCTGGTTCTAGTGAGAACAGGAGCAGCAGCTTCTGGATCAGTTGCAGCTGTTTGATTGATTTGTTGGACAGACCTGTGAAGACGCTGTTACAATAATCAATGCGACTAAAGACAAACGCATGAATGAGTTTCTCTAGATCTGGCTGAGACATTATTCCTCTAATCCTGGAGATGTTCTTCAGGTGATAGAAGGCCGATTTTGTTACTGTCTTTATGTGGCTCTGGAGGTTCAAGTCCGAGTCCATTACTACTCCCAGGTTTCGGGCCTGATCGCTAGTTTTTAGTTGTAATAACTGAAGCTGTGCATTAACTCTAGATCGTTCCTCTTTAGGTCCAAAAATAATGACTTCAGTTTTGTTTTTGTTCAGCTGGAGAAAGTTTTGGCACATCCACACATTTATCTGTTCTAAACATTTATTCAGTGATTGAATGGGTTCAGAGTCACTTGGTGACATCGTAATTTAGAGCTGTGTGTCATCCACATAGTTGTGGTAGCTAATATTATTTCCTGTTATGACCTGAGCTAGTGGGAGAATATAAATATTAAATAAGAGGGGTCCTAAGATTGAACCTTGGGGTACCCCACATGTGACCTTTGACCTCTTTGATGAGAAGTTTTCAATTGAAACAAAGAAATCCCTGCTCTTTATGTAAGATTCAAACCAGTCGAGCACCAAACTGGAGAGTCCGACCCAACTCTCCAGTCGATTCAGTAATATGTCATGGTCAACAGTCTCATAAGCTGCACTGAGGTCCAACAGAACCAGCATTCTGCCACAGTCCGTATTTATATGGATGTCATTGAATACTTTTACGAGGGCAGTCTCCGTGCTGTGGTGAGCACGAAAACCAGACTGGAAAGTGTCAAAGCAGTTGGTCATCATGAGGAAACTATTTAATTGTTTACACAGTTTTTTCAATAACTTTGCTGATGAATGGGAGGTTTGAGATTGGCCTGTAATTCTGCAATAGTGATTTGTCCAGGTTGTTCTTTTTTAACAGTGGTTTGATGACTGCTGTTTTCAAGGCCTGGGGAAAAACACCTGATGTAAGCGATGAGTTTACGATTTGGATCAGATCAGTAGCAATAACAGGCAGGACTTTCTTAAAGAAATGTGTGGGAAGGACATCCAGACAGCAGGAGCTTGAACTTCATTGACTTATAATTTCTTCTAGAGTTTTATAATTAAATAGTTGAAAATGGGTCATTTTTTCTGTTGATGTGCAGATTAATCCTCTGATTTTTTTGAATTTTCTCTGAAAAAACTTGTTCCAGGCAGCATTAGATTGGAGTTCAGGTGGTAACGTCACAGGAGGGTTTGTGAGCCTGTCAACTGTTGCAAATAAAGTTCGAGCATTGTTGATGTTTTTGTTTATGACATCTGCAAAGAAAGCCTCCCTTGCATGTTTTAGTGTTAAGTGATAGTTACGTAGTCTTTCTTTATAGATGTCATGATGAACGTGAAGTTGAGTTTTACGCCATTTTCGTTCTGCCCTGCGACAGAGTTGTCTTGCAGAACGAACTATTTGTGCATTTCTCCATGGAGATTTTTTCGTACCAGACACAACCTTTACTTTAATTGGAGCAATAGAATCAATGATATATGAAACTTTAGACTGAAAATCATCTACCAACTTATCTACATCATTGCAGCTTAAAGGTGAGGAAGAAGAACATGTACTGGATGACACCATATTGTTCATAAGCACTGCTGATCCACCACCTTTGCTTTTGCAGTGGTATTTTAGATCTTTGTCGTGTAGTCAGAAAGTCCAGTAGAGAGATGGTGAAGTCAGATTATCTGGAAGCCATGTGTCTAAAAAATGCAGGAGATATAAATATCAGTTACACCTGTTGTAAGCCGATTGCTTGGTATGTTGGGCAGTAATGACAAGTGGTCAAAAGGAAATTAGTAGTAGAAAAACTGCTTCCAACCAGCAAAACAATCAAAACCAGGGAGAGATTATTTTTTAAATAAAAATTTTCTATCAGAAATGGAGGAACAAAAGTTTTTTTAAAAAGTGACAAATAGTGGTACGGAAGTCACAGAGCTACTCCAACATGCTAGCATGTAGCTGGAGGATTACAGGGTTCATTTCTATAACTTGATGTTGACCATGATCTCTGTTCTCTCCACAGAGCTGCATGGACCCTTCATTGATGTCAGCAGATCAGACTCTCCTCCAGGGTCGGTGGTGACCTGTTCAGCCACAGGTCAACCTGTTCCCATGGTAACACTGACTGTTCTCCATCAGAACCTCAGTTTCTCTGACAGCAACACCTGCAGAGAGACCAACACTAACGGTACCGTCACAGTCACCACTACAGCTCTGCTCTCAGCTCTCAGCAACACACAGGTTGGATGTTCAGTATCACTGGACTCTGCTGCTCCCAGAGATCTGCTGGTCATCGTTCCTGGATTCACTGAGACGTCTGATGATGGTGAGGAACTTTCTAAGACTCCTTTGTTTTTTATTTAGTAACTAATGATGTGTTTGTGATTGTAAATGTTTGAATCTCTTTTACCAGGTCTGAATAACCAATCATATCTCAGAGGTTTCAGTAAGTTCATGTTCAGATTCTCACATCTTCATTTTTTGCTTTGTTCTGTTGTTGAAACACATTTCATCTTCTTCCTAAAGGATGGCCTCTGATTGTTGTTGTCATCCTGGTGATCCTGATCCCTATTGGTGTTTTAGTATTCAGAAGAATATCTCTGACCAGGTACTTTAATTAAAAAGTGTTTTGTTGTTGTTGAGTTTCACATCATTAATGTCTCAGGTTTGATTTGATTTACTGACTAAAATTATTCCCAGGAATATGGAACCTTCAGAAAATGCCACAGCCAATCAGAAGTAAGGATTTTATTTATTCATTCCTGTTACACAGATGGAGATTTATTTCATCTTTTACATCCCTTCTAATGTGATGCATAGTCTCTATTTCCTGAACGCTATAAGGCAGATTTATTTCTCACAACATGTTCATTTTGTTTTTAACTGCAGATAATTCACCAGTGTCGAGCTCAGAGGACAAACCACGAACACCTGAGAGCCAGAGACAAATCCGCGATTCCCGTCCATCACCATGACATGTTTTTCCAAAAAATTGTTACTTTGAGTCATTACAAAAATACTTTTTATGTCAGAAATAATACACAACATTCTGGTATTTCTCAAACAAGCATGAATTTGTTGAGGTACGTTTTTGATGCCAACAGTAATTAATCAATATCTGATCAAATTGATAAGGCAGCTAAACTCCAGTTAATTGAATCAAAGGCCGTTACCAATTTCTTGACCAAGTAATAAATACTGTTTTCAGGGACTCATTTGATAGTTTAGATGTCAGTGTTTTATTTATTTCCTTTTGAAGAATTGTTTGGTTTTATACTGTTTTTATATATTTTTTACACAAATAATTCATCCTCATTCATATACAATCTATCATTTGATCAATTGGTAAAAAATATTTTTTAATTTAGAAATTGAAAATTAAGAAGCCTTCTTGTTGTAACCGTTTTAGGTTTCTGAGTGTATTTTACTCTAAACTGGAAACCAGAATGTATTTGGTTTTGTTTTTCCAGGTATTGTTGTGTTAATGTGTGTTTTCTGATTTCCTGTAAGATCATTAAAAAGCACTGTTTGATTTGGCGTCAGGGTTGTGTTATAGTCTTTATCTGCCTGTGCCTCTGTGGTTCCATATCTTTGATATTATTGCTCAAGTTCAATATAATTTGCTAACATCTCAAGCCACTGACAGAATGAACTCAAACCATCAAGACGTATTTTTAACCAAGATTGATTTAAACTGCTTTCTGTCTAGACTAATAGCTTTACATTGAAATAAAAATGTTGCATAAAACCAAGTGAGCAGGGAACACAAGGTGTCTAAGGTCAAAGGTCTTTACCGTCATTTACAAAATAATAATAAAAAAATAATCTACCAAAAACTTGTCCTTTTCTCAGCGTCCATTGGGGAACATCGTGTAATATGACCTGGGCTTGGAATTTAATATTAGGATTTTATTTATTTATTTATTTTAAAATTCACTCTGTGGTCATGTGTGAATAGGAATATATATATCAGAGTTTAAAATTGACATTTCTAAAAGATTATATGATCAACTATCGATATTCACAGCAGAAATGGTGGCAGTTATCATCAGCTTACAGTGGGTAGAGGAGGTTCGTCCAGACAGAGGAGTAATTTGCACAAATTCCAAGTCAGTAATAGAAAGTATTGAAAGATTGAGTACTTGAAATTCAAAATAGCTTTTTTAGATTATATAGAGGTGGCATTGATATTTGGTTCTGTTGGGTGCCAGCACATGAAAGTGTAAAAGGCAATGAAAGGGCAAATAAATTAGCAAAAAAAAAGAAATAGAAAATGTAGAACATGTATTATTGAACTGTAAAAAATGTGAAATTGAGAAGAATAGTTGAAAGGGCAGATCAAGAATGGAGTTTGAAAGGAGTACTGGGAAATGATGGAAATATAATGGATATTTACATATTAAGGAAAGCATTATTTATTTATTTCCAAAATACAAAATTAAAAAATAGAATCTGATTGATGTGAAATACTGTTGCTACACACTCGTGTACAGTAGGTGGCGGTATGCATCTTAAAGTTGCTTGCGAGCCGCCATAATAGAAAAGAAGAAGAAGCAGAATGGCGGAGTTTTGGCTGGCGCGGTAATTCAAATTCCAGCGGAAACTATTTAAGCTTTTTAAACTTAAATAATTTACGCGGTTTGCTCAGATATTAAATTGGAATTTAATTCTAATTCATTTCAGTTCCGTGCTTCACTTCTTCAGCGTCTCGTTGTGTTTAATATTGATATGAAATTGTGGCTGACATGGAGATCATATCAGCTGCACCGGTTATATTTTTCCTGTTGGGAATCTGGAATGAAGGTGAGATCAGAACATTTAAGCTGGGGACAGTTTTGTGAATTAAAGACGTTTTTAACTTCTGTATTTTGATAATATTTTAAAATTACAGCAAACAAGTGAACAACGTTTTGGCGGGGGATCATTTCTTGTATTTGTTAGAGCATGTAAAGGTTTTCCTGCTCTGCATTTTGTCCTATTTCAAACCCAAACTCAAGTTTATTTAATGCAAGAGATTCTTTTTTTTTTTCAAATATAAATCTGAAATGTGTGGCGTGCATTTCTGCTGAAGCTGCTTCACTTTATTATCCCTACAGGTCAATAAAGTGCAACCGACTGCATTACAAATAAAAGTGAAACATGTGATGTCAACTCGTTTTTAGCAGTTAGTTACAACATGGCCTTTAATGACTCTGGACCTTTCTGCCCACTTTTACTATCAAAATGGCTCATTCATGCTGCAACTGTTGCATATCTACAACATTCAACTCTATATTGAAGTTTGTGGTTGAGACATGACAAAGTGAAACATCTAAATCGTTTTGCACGGTACTTTTGTCATAAAAGCCAGATACAGAACATCTGATCTCCTTCATGCAGGTCTAGCAGTTCTGATCCAAACACAGCAGACGGTGTTGGCAGCAGTAGGAGAAGATGCTCCTCTCAGCTGTCAGCTGATGGAAACTAAAGACGTCCAGCAGGTCACCTGGCAGAAGGTTTTGGAGAAAAGAGAGAGGAATATTGGTTCCTACAGCAAGTATTTTGGTGAACAGTGAATGACGGATTTAAAGATACAGTTCAGTTACAGAAGCTGACTGCAGAAGAACTCGATAGTTATCAGGAACGTTACGGAGCAGGATGCAGGATGTTACCTGTGTCTGTTTAATGCCTATCCTGATGGAGCTCTGACAGCTGCAACATGTCTGAAGGTTTATGGTGAGAACCTGAAAGTTTCATAGATTTAACTTCTACAACTAGATATTAATCCTGATCTCTGTTCTCTCCACAGAGCTGCATGGACCCTTCATTAATGTCAGCAGATCAGAATCTCCTCCAGGGTCGGTGGTGACCTGTTCAGCCACAGGTCAACCTGTTCCCATGTAACACTGACTGTTCTCCATCAGAACCTCAGCTTCTCCGACAACAACACCTGCAGAGAGACCAACACTAACGGTACCGTCACCTCACCCTACAGCTCTGCTCTCAGCTCTCAGCAACACACAGGTTGGATGTTCAGTATCACTGGACTCTGCTGCTCCCAGAGATCTGCTGGTCATCGTTCCTGACTCATTGATACGTCTGATGATGGTGAGGAACCGTTTGAAAGGCTCTCATTGGATTCTTTTTTCAGTGACTGGTCTATTTGACATGTTTTAATCTCATTTGTCAGAGTTGGTCAAACATTGTCGATCGTATTGCCACCCCCTTCGTAAGTACATACCGAGATTCCCACATATGGAGTTTTCAGATGTTTCTGTCATTGAAATGTATCTCATCTGTTTTTTTCTTTTTGCTTTAAAGATTTGCCTTTGATTGCTGCAGTCATGTCAGTCGTGGTTTGTTTCGCCATCCTGCTCGGAATAAGATTTCAGAGAAGGTACGTCCATCAGTGGTTTTGTTGCTCTGTTTTTTTCCTCACTAAAGTCACAAAAACATTTCTTTTTCTGCCTGTTAAATCAGCCACAGGAATCAGAAACCTTCAGAGGACTCCACAGAAAACCAAAAGTAAGGATTTGATTGATCTATTCCTCCTTCACATGATATAAAGAACATCAGTTTCCAATGTCCAGCACTGTTAGTGTCTTACTAACATATTGTGATTTGTTTTAAGGATGAACGTCTCACCAGCGTCGAGCAACAACCTCAGACAACGATCACCTGAAAAACAAAAACTAAACAGTGGATTATATCCATCGCCATGACAACAGGAGCACGACATTTTGACCTTTTTGTTTGGGCAACTCAGCAATATCTGATCAGACCATCACAGACTGATTGGCAGCTAATCCTGAAGTTAATTGGATGAAAACCGATAATCGAGTTTGTCTCTGTTCCATTGAACAACAATCAGTGTTTAGAAGAGCATCAATGTTTTCTGATTATGTGTTGTTTTCAGTGATGCTTTTTGTTTTGTCCATCACATTTGATGAAAGATGGCGACAAAACATTTCTTGTAACCATGCCGTTAAACAAAAGAAACATACTTGCACCTCTTCAAGTATTGCCTGATTGTTTTCCTGCTTTTTTTTAAAATAATGGGTCTCCCATTTCTTTGTTTTAAAATGTTTTTTTTTATTTTTACAAAAAATATACAGAAGAATTTTTTTTTTTACTGAAGGTAATTAATGCATCTACATCACAAATTAGTCAAATGTCAAAGTTGCTGGTGTTGAAACTGTGAAACTATGAGGACTTTAGATATTTTGGATCTTTGTAACTCCATAATGTAAAGCCAGAAAGTATAATGTTTTAAATTTGATATTGAAATAAAGATTTAACAAAACAGAGAAATCAATATTTTTGTATCTTTTCTTTTACGTTCATTTCAAGCTACGTAAACTTGGAATTACAGGCAAGAAAAAACAAAGTATCATCTTCAAACAGATGTAAAAAAAAAGGGCATTATTTTTTATGTTCTTTTTCAGCTGTTTTGTTGTAAATGAATGAATGAATGTACTTTATTAATCTCTGAGTCAGTACTGACACAACCTGAGACTTTACACATGTTGCATCACACATTAGAAATAGAGGAAAACTAATAAAAATGTATAAGGACTGATTGAAAATTTTGATTGATTTGGTACAAGAATGATTTTTTTTTTCTTAGTCACTTTAGTTTGTATTATCTTAAATATGACAGAACTGCAAACAAATTTTGCATTTTCTCAACAAACAATAAATATTCTCATATTATATTTAGCGCTTTGAAATGAAACCAATTTTGCTCGTTTTTTTAATGTCATTAATTTATTTGATATATTCAATGGATTGTCATTTTAAAACGGAAAAATAAAAAAACTATTTAAGTTTGGTAAATGGCCAGCAGAGGTCGCTGTCTATTCCACTCAGGCTCTGCAGTCAATTGAGGGCGCATGCGCACGTCTGCGGCATTTGTGCGCATGACGGAATTAATTTCAAATTCTGGCGCACAAAAAATGTCACGCTGTGTGTTTCTCTTGTTGGGAATCCTTATTGAAGGTAAGATTAGAACATTTTTGTTTTTTCACAGCCTTCTGCTAAAATGCAGCAGCTGCGCACAGCTTGTTAAAGATGATTTAACTTGTGAATTTTGCTCCTGCTGAAATGAAAGTAAACAGCTCACACATCGTATTTGGAGCTGCTCTCATTTTTTTGTTGTTCTTTTTTTTTGCAGTCATGCTGCACAAACTTCTATTATATGTTATAAATATATAACGGCGTGATCGCCTTCGTGCAGGTGTGGTGGCTGTGATCCAAACCCAGCAGACCGTGATGGCAGCGGTGGGAGACCAGGCCTCTCTGAGCTGTCAACTCTCTAAAACCAAAGATGTCCTCCAGGTCACCTGGCAGAAGGTCGTTCCTGGTGGAGAGAAGAACCTCGCCACCTACACCAAGAAGTTTGGCTCCAGAGTGAGTGCAGGTCTGGAGGAGAAGATGGATTTCCAGTATGAGTCTCTGCAGAGCTGCTCCATGGTGATCAGGAGGGTGACGGGTCAGGATGAAGGCTGCTACCGATGTTTGTTCAACTCTTATTCTGAAGGAGCACTGATAGGCTGGACCTGCTTAAAACTCTGTGGTGAGTGAAGAGCAGCAGAACGTCTGCAGATGGTTAACTCTCCTCTGGATGATGTAACATCATGTCTGTTCTCTCCACAGAGCTGCATGGACCCTTCATTGATGTCAGCAGATCAACTCTCCTCCAGGGTCGGTGGGTGACCTGTTCAGCCACAGGTCAACCTGCTCCCATTGTAACACTGACTGTTCTCCATCAGAACCTCAGCTTCTCTCACTACAACACCAGCAAAGTGATCAACACCAACGGTACCATCACTTCCACCACTACAGCTCTGCTCTCAGCTCTCAGCAACACACAGGTTGGATGTTCAGTATCACTGGACTCTGCTGCTGTCAGAGAGCTGCTGGTCATCGTTCCTGGATTCACAGAGACGTCTGAATATGGTGAGGAACTTTCTGTAACTCTCTGTTTATAGACTGATGATCAGTTTGAGGTTCTCAAGTTGGCTTTCTTTGACAGAGCTGCAGAAACAATCTAGTGTACGTGTTGACAAGACTGACGAGTCTCAAGGTCTGAGTAAGTTTTCTTGTGTAAAAGTTTGATTTCTGTTTTCTGTGTTGATCCATCAAACATTTCTATTCTTTTTCTCACAGAAATCCCCTTGATCCTTGGAGTTGTTGCTGTCATAGTTGTGACTTGTTTCGCTGTTGCATTCATCGCCTTCTGGAGACATAAAAATGTCCATTACAGGTAATTTCCTTTCATTTTTAATCAGTGCCACATAAAAACCTCTTAAATTCTGATGACTTTTCTGTTCACAGAGACGATGAGAATAACAAAACACCGTTGAGACCAGAACCATCAGACAGGTGAGAACATTTTGTAATAGAACAAACATTTGCTGTTTGAGTTTCATCTTGTTCATTTTCAACCTAATAAAGGTTTTAAGATTAAGATTTCACCTCCGTTTGGTCAGTTTATGAAGTGATTCCACAGTGGTGCTTTTTATTCATTATATAAATTGATATAATCTGAATATTTTGGTTGCATATTTTACATTTTAAAGCTTTTTCTCAATGCAGAGAACAATGAAATGATGCTTTTATAATATCATATTATGTTATGCTTCCTGCATGGGCAGGTCTCCTTTGGGAATGAAACTAACTTATGCAGGATCTTATCAGATTTATATTGATATTTACTTGTTTTAATATTCTACATTTTTTCTACAGGAACAAAACACCTTCAATGAAACTGACGAATGAGGTTAAACAGCGACATTCTGCCAAGAAAAGTCCAGAAAGCAACAATCTCACAAGATTTCCTTCAGTGGCAAAAAAACTGGATCTTTGACAAGAGCATCTAAGATCCAGTTGATCGTTCAACTGAATGGATCCCTTTTGGAAATCAATTTGTTGGATGAACTACACACTGTGCTCCTGTGTTTGTATTCCCTTTCAATTCATATAAAGAACTTTGAATTGTCTTTTTGCTGTAAATATTCTATGGAAATAAAAGTTGAATGTAGATCTGTTCTGTACCTTCTCTTTTTATTGACTTTTGTTGTCCTAAAGAAAATGAATGCATTGTGTATGCTCACTTAAAGCTTACATTCAAACATTTCCTATATTTTGTATTTTTTTATATTTATAGTCTATATATTTTGTTTGCACGCTCTAATCAGAGAATCTCTGGGTGTGTCTTTCAAAACAAAACTGCTTCTGAAAAGAAAAGGACAAAAACAAACAGAGTGATGAACCTGGAGAGTTACGTCACACATTTACATAGGCTCAGCAGTTGTCACGTGACTCTTGACACACCTGTCTGTTTCCGCCCTGCTTGAGATAAAGCAGAAAATCAAGAAGTGAAGATTTTAAGAACAGCAAAATGTTTCCTCCTGTTTTAACCTGCTGCTTTTTATTCACTGTCATCCTTCAAACTGGTGAGAACTAATTTGTTTTAAGCAGAGAAGTTGAACTTTTTCAGGTTTTCTTCAGTTTTGGTCATTTTTACAGCGGGTGGATTTGATGTTGAACACATTTATTGAGTGGCTTCAACACAGTAATTTGATGTCTATTATTCCTCGTTTACAAACTAACAAACGAGACTTACGATACTTGACTTAATGTAATTAATGAACAATTTATAATAATAATCTATTAGGGAGCATTTTGTGGTTTAATTTGAAATGGCATAGCATTTAGTCCGAGAAGTGGAAAGAATTGTATTTTATTTTTTATATTTCTTCAATTCACATGGCTTTAATTTAAATTGAAATTGCTTTGTTAATAATATAAATAATATGATCTGAAGTTCCCACATTTTTGAGGTTTAGTAATCTGATTATGACCCATTTTATTGAGAAAGTTTGAGAGGAACTATAAAGAACAGACACTTATTAAAAGCTTTATTCCTTCCAGGTCACTTTGCTGTAATAGAAACACAGGAGACTGTCTGGGCAGCAGTGGGAGACCAGGCCTCTCTGAGCTGTCGGCTCACTGAGGATAAAAATGTTCTCCAGATCACCTGGCAGAAAGTTCTTCAGAGTGGAGAGAAGAACCTCGCCACCTACACCAAGAAGTTTGGCTCCAGAGTGAGTGCAGGTCTGGAGGGGAAGATGGATTTTCAGTATGAGACTCTGCAGAAATGCTCCATGGTGATCAGGAAGGTGACGTATCAGGATGAAGGCTGCTACCGATGTTTGTTCAACACCTATCCTGATGGAGCGCTGATAGGCTGGACCTGCTTAAAACTCTGTGGTGAGTGAAGAGCAGCAGAACGTCTGCAGATGGTTAACTCTCCTCTGGATGATGTAACATCATGTCTGTTCTCTGCACAGAGCTGCATGGACCCTTCATTGATGTCAGCAGATCAGATTCTCCTCCAGGGTCGGTGGTGACCTGTTCAGCCACAGGTCGACCTGTTCCCATTGTAACACTGACTGTTCTCCATCAGAACCTCAGCTTCTCTCACTACAACACCAGCAGAGTGATCAACACCAACGGTACCATCACATCCACCACCACAGCTCTGCTGTCAGCTCTCAATACCACACAGGTTGGATGTTCAGTATCACTGGACTCTGCTGCTGTCAGAGAGCTGCTGGTCATCGTTCCTGGACTCACAGATTCATCTGATGATGGTGAGAAAGACTAACATTTATAGACTGATGATCTGTTTGTGATTCTGATCCATGAGCTTTTCTCACCAGGTTTGGATGTGGATTCTGGTTCAAGTAATATTATTGTTGGTAAGTTCAGGCTGAGGTTTCAGTTTTTACATTTATGTTGTTGAACTGATCACATCAACATGTGTTTCTGTTTCTCTAAAGGTTTGTCTTTGTTGGCTGTGTTGGTGCTTTTGGTCTGTGTTGCTGCTTTCATCTTTGTGTGGCTCAGAAAAATGGCAGACAAAAGGTACTGCTGTTCCAGATTATATCACCTCAGTAAATGTCTCCATCAGTTGATGAATGTTTGTGTGATTAAAATATATTTGTATCACACAGGAAGAATGATCATGCATTGAACATGTTGGAGTAAGACCCTTTTTAAAATCATTCCTCATTGCCATCCATATTTTTTCTGCTTTGGCGTAAACGTTGCTATGAACCATATTCATGCTGTGATAGAGCGGCGCCAAAGTAATTGCATAAAAAACATTGCTAGTCTGAATTTGTTTGTAATTTAACAGCATGTGTAAGAGATCTGATAACATTTATTTGTTTTAAGTGATAAAATATAACTCGTAGAACTTGGCAGTGGTAAACTTGAGTTTAAATGTTTTCACTCAATAGAACATTAGTGCTGTTGTGACATTTAATAAAAATTTCATGTTTTTTTCATGCTGTAATGTTTTAAAACCACTTTGCAGAGAATACCTGTTTAACTGCTATAAGAATAAAGAAGAGCAGGAGGACACGACAGGACAGAACAGGACAAACATCAGGTTGGTATCATATTAAATGGAACCAGGATTAACCACTTAATAGCCATTTAATCACAACTGAATATATTTTTATCACACAGGGAAAGTGAAGATGCATCAAATATCGACTCTCTGTAAGGCTTTTATTGTTATTCCTCATTTACAGCAGACTTTATTCTGCTTTCTCTTGTTTGCAACATTTTCAAATATTAACCTACTTTTACATTTACTACTATCTCAATTTTATTTGAATTTCAAGCATTTTAGATTTTTGTAACCTTCAATTTTAGAACATTTAATCTGTCATTATGTCTTCTTCTCATCTGATGTGTTCATCAGATTTAGCTCACTTTGGTTCAAATGCATAAAAACAAATGGCAAAAGAAACAAACAATAGCACAAAATAATATATTTTCTGTTCTTGTTTTCAGTGTTTCAGACCCTCTTGTGGTACCCACGAAAGTGGAAGACATCGTAGTGCCTCCATCATGTCGACGACGCCACCGCAACAAAGAGCAGCCGTCATCAGACGAACCAAGAGAAAAATCTGAATTTGAAAGTAAAAAACGTATTTGGACTATTTTGTGGTGGAAGCGATGAAACAGCCTCACCTGAGCTCAAAGGCTGTGGGAAAAGAAGTTCTTGTGAAGTCAGGCTGCCTGGTCAGATGTTTCCTGGACGTCCTGGAGGAACGAAGTTTCTCAGCTGGTCTGAGGATTTTGGATTCCTCAAAAGGAGCGACGCCTCCACGACATAACCCAGAACTAATGATGGATGCAATGGATGATTTAATAATTTCAACAAATGGTTGATTTTTTTATTAGTTAAATCATAAATTTCATTTTATCTCATTTAAAATAAAAACAACTTCCTTTATGGAGAACTTTTGTTCCCCTTTGTATTCTCAAACAGTTTTCATTTGTAGTTGTACTCTTTCATAGCCATAAATACAACATTTACTTTTGCTTAATTTAATATATTATAGAACTGCATATCAGTTTATTTTGATTAGTATGTAGTTATTCTGCTGAATTATGGAATTAAATATTTTGGTAGAAGGCATGAAGGAGTGATTTATTAACATTTTCTGATTGCAGGTTATGAATAAATGCTCAGTTTATTTGAAACATTTGCTGTAATATCTGGAAAATGGAAATGAAACAAACATGCTCATGTTCAAAATAGTGCAAGGCAGAAATCAACACCTGTGACAAAAACACATAACCATAAAGGTTTAAGGAACGACCCAATAGTAATTGGTCTTAACTACTTTTCCCACAAATCACATATTATAATATAACATTCTGTGTGTGTGTGATGATGTTCTCTTTAAAATGTAATAATCTCAATTTTTCTTCTTTCCAGTATTTCTAGAACTATGGGGTTTGCTGTCATTGTTGGCTACCAGACTGAAAATGATTGAAAAATCAGCCAAAGTCCAACAAGTCCCTCTAAAATATATTCTGAAAAAGCTGTTAAGACAAAATTGAACGTTTGCAATAAAGTCAAACTCACTGGTACAAACCATGAATACATCAAAGTTCATTTCAATACTGTGAGCTTGTGACTTGAGATAAATCCTGAGGAGTTCAAGTTTTTCCACAGAGTGAAAAAGAAGACTGAACCTTGTGAACGACACGGTTGGTCGAAACATTTTAATACACTTTTCATTTCTCCCATTCATTCAACCAGGTCAAAAGTACAGTTTTGTTATTTGTAGACAGGAATGTGCTTCTGATGATGTAACTTGAACTCAGAGGTTTTTTGTATTTGTCAAATATAGAACAGTAACTGAGTCAGAAATATTCTTAAAAATAATAAAATCCTTTTCAGATTAGGGGAAAAACATGTGCTTCTAAAGCTCATTACTGCCATCATTTTGTTCACAGAGAGGATGTTCAGTGTTAAGATGCATTCAGTTTGAAAGAAATGCGACTCAAAAACTGAACAAATGGTTTCCAAGACGTATTTTCAGTTAGGCTATTAAAATAAACTGTCCAAATATCTTTCTGCTTTTCTTTAAAATTAAACAAGTGGAGTCAAAACCTTCTGATTTGTTTTTAATATAAAGATTGAAAAACTTGATGCAACATTTTTTTCGTTTTTTTTTTTTTACTTAATTGAAATGCAAAGTTTGAAATAATAAGATCCAAATATTGTTTTATGTAGTCATTTTTTATTTAAAAGAATATGACAGAATTATTCAACAAATCTGTTTTTGTTACTCCAGGGTTAGCAGGCTGGCTCTTCCAGTAAACTCAGCTTGTTGCTTCAATTTGTTGACCCAATTAAGCCAAATCCATGTAAAAGCTGTTGATGTTACTTCCACCACTACAGCTCTGCTCTCAGCTCTCAGCAACACACAGGTTGGATGTTCAGTATCACTGGACTCTGCTGCTTCCAGAGATCTGCTGGTCACCATTCCTGGATTCACAGAGACGTCTGATGATGGTGAGGAACTTTCTGTAACTCTCTGTTTATAGACTGATGATCAGTTTGAGGTTCTCGAGTTGGCTTTCTTTGACAGAGCTGCAGAAACAATCTAGTGTACGTGTTGACAAGACTGACGAGTCTCAAGGTCTGAGTAAGTTTTCTTGTGTAAAAGTTTGATTTCTGTTTTCTGTGTTGATCCATCAAACATTTCTCTTCTTTTTCTCACAGAAATTCCCTTGATCCTTGTATTTATTGTTGTCATAGCTTTGACTTGTTCCGTTGTTGCATTCATCGCCTTCCGGAGACATAAAAATGTCCATTACAGGTCACCATACAGGTCTTTCATTTTTAATCGGTGCCAAGTTAAAATCTCTTAAATTCTGATGACTTTTTTGTTCACAGAGACAATGAGAATAACAAAACACAGTTGAGACCAGAACCATCAGACAGGTGAGAACATTTTGCAAGAGAACAGACATTTGCTGTTTGAGTTTCATCTTGTTCATTCTCAATCTTAAAACCTTTATTAGGTTAAGATTTCACCTCCGTTTGGTCAGTTTATGAAGTGATTCCATAGTGGTGCTTTCTATTCCTCATATACAGTGTAAATTGATATAAGCTGAATATTTTGGTTGCATATTTTACATTTTAAAGCTTTTTCTCAATGCAGAGAACAATGAAATGATGCTTTTATAATATCATATTATGTTATGCTTCCTGCATGGGCAGGTCTCCTTTGGGAATGAAACTAATCTTATCAGATTTATATTGATATTTACTTGTTTTAATATTCTACATTTTTTCTACAGGAACAAAACCATTTCAATGAAACTGACTAATGAGGTTAAACAGCGACATTCTACCAAGAAAAGTCCAGCAAGAAACAACCTCACAAGATTTCCTTCAGTGGCAAAAAAACTGTTTAAATGACAGATTGACAAGATCATTAAAGATCCAGTAGATCATTCAAAATGCCTGAAAAATGAATGGATCCCTTTTGGTTGGATAAACTAAACACTGTGCTCCTGTGTTTGTATTTTATTCTAATTCATATAAAGAAGTTTGAATTGTCCTCATGCTGTAAATATTCTATGTAAATAAAATCACCTCAAGATGTATGTAGATCTGTTCTCTACCTTTTCTTTTATTGACGTTTGTTGTCCTAAAGGAAAGGAATGCATTTTGCATGATTAGTTTAAGCTTATTTTCCAACATTTCCAATATTTTGTATTTTTTTATATGTGTAGTCTATATATCTTGTTTGTACGCTCTAATCAGAGAATCTTTGGGTGTGTCTTTAAAAACAAAACTGCTTCTGAAAAGAAATAAAACCTTGTAACCTTCAGTTTTAGAACATTTAATCCATCATTATGTCTTCTTCTCATCTGATGTGTTCATCAGATTCAACTCACTTTGGTTGAAATGGCAAAAGAAACAAACAATAGCACAAAATAATATATTCTCTGTTGTTGTTTTCAGTGTTTCAGACCCTCTTGTGGTACCCACGAAACTGGAAGACCTCGTAGAGCCTCCATTATGTCGACGACGCCACTGCAACAAAGAGCAGCCGTCATCAGACGAACCAAGAGAAAAATCTGAATTTGAAAGTAAAAAACGTATTTGGACTATTTTGTGGTGGAAGCGATGAAACAGCCTCACCTGAGCTCAAAGGCTGTGGGAAAAGAAGTTCTTGTGAAGTCAGGCTGCCTGGTCAGATGTTCGCTGGACGTCCTGGAGGAACGAAGTTTCTCAGCTGGTCTGAGGATTTTGGATTCCTCAAAAGGAGCGACGCCTCCATGACCTGACTATAGATTAATGATGGATACAATGGATGATTTAATAATTTCAACACATGGTTGATTTTTTTTTTTTTTTTTAATATTTATGTAATTTAAAGTAAAAACAAATTCCTTTGTGGAGAATTGTCTTTGTTTTAATTTCCACTTTGTATTCTCAAACAATTTTCATTTATAGTCATACTGTTTCATAGCCATAAATAAGGCATTTTATATCAATATATCATAGAATTTTATATCAGTTTATTTAAACAGGTAAGCATTTAAAATACAAAATTAAAAGTTTGCAAATAAGTCAGACTCACTGGTACAAAACATGAATACATCAAAGTTCATTTCAATACTGTGAGCTTGTGACTTGAGATAAATCCTGAGGAGTTCAAGTTTTTAAGCCATGGAGTGAAAAAGGAGACAAAGTGTGAACGACACGGTTGGTCGAAACATTTTAATACACTTTTCATTTCTCCCAATCATTCAACCAGATCAAAAGTACAGTTTTGTTATTTATAGACAGGAATGTGCTTCTGATGATGTAACTTGAACTCAGAGGTATTTGTATTTTTGTATTTGTCAAATATAGAACAGTAACCAAGTCAGAAATATTCTTAAAAATAATAAAATCCTTTTCAGATTATGGGAAAAATATGTGCTTTTGAAGCTCGTTCCTTCCATCATTTTGTTCACAAAGAATGTTCGGTGTTAAGATGCATTCAGTTTGAAAGAAATGCCACTCAAAAACTGAACAAATGGTTTCCAAGACGTATTTTTAGTTATTAAAATAAACTGTCCAAATATCTTTCTGCTTTTCTTTAAAATTGAACAAGGAGAGTCAAAACCTTCTGATTTGCTTTTTATATAAAGTTTGAAAAACTTGGTACAACATTATTTTCTTTTTTGACTTAATTGCAATGCAAAGTTTGAAATAAGATCCAAATATTGTGTCATGTAGTCCTTTTTTATTTAAAAGAATATGACAAAAGAATTATTCAACAAATCTGTTTTTGTTACTCCAGGGTTAGCAGGCTGCCTCTTCCAGTAAAATCAGCTTGTTGCTTCAATTTATTGACCCAATTAAGCCAAATCCATGTTACAGCTGTTGACGTTTTTTCTTGTCTCATTTTTAATTCAACACCTGGCGACGCAATGACGTCACGCGCACACGTATGCAATTGAGCAGCTCTGGTTCTGTAAACTTTCTGCCAGAAAGCTTCTGACAACAATGCAACGCGCTGCAGTCACCAGCTGCCTTTTAATTTGCAGCTTCCTTCAAGCAGGTGAGGAGAAATGAACAATTTGTGTTTTTCATTCGATGCAACGACTTATTTCGTCAACTTTTTTGTCGAAATGTCCCGAAATGTGTGAAATGCTTGACGTCGAAGTGAGTTACACGACGACAAAACACTAAATTATCAACAATTTATTGGTAATATTTGAAGCATTGGTGCAGGTGATGCTCAGGAAGTTTGGGGAAGAAAATAAATAAATCAAGACTTCCGTATTTTTACTAAAACAAGAATGGTGTTGAATTCGTGTTGTGACCGGAAGTAGTAACGACAACGAGCCACTTTACTACTTATAATTATTGTAAAAAAAAATTTTAATAATTATTATAATTGTAAAAGTTGAACAGAAATTGTTTTGACTAAACGTTACGCTGTTATGTCATCAGTGACGCAGGTAGAGAGCGTTTCCTGTTTACGTTTTTTACGGTGAAGCCTCACAGTGTCAGTGTTTTCTGTTGGAGTTTTTCGTTATAAAACAAACAAAGTTGTGCTTAGTTATCAAAGTAAAAGAGAAATTATTCATGACCGCAAACGAGGAAGAATGGCAGCATATGAGTTACTGTGTCATCTATTTCGGAGGGAGAATTCATTAAGCATTGTCTTATTTTCGAATTATATCAAAGTTTTGTCATTATTATTATTTTATGTTTGTTTTCTTCTTAGTAGTTCTTTTTTTCTCTGACATTTTGTACGCCCTAGATAATTTGAATATTTGGTTTCGTTTTTATTTTAATACTACAGCATAAAATAAGGAAGTAGAGGTTAAATGTTAAAATTGCAGATATATAAATATTTCTAGTCCATCAGGAAATGCAAACTCATCTTTAGGTTACTGATGTGTACAAGTGTCCATTTTATTGGCCAGAACTTTTTGCAGGGATTTGCAACTCCAGGCCTCCTGCAACGTTTATATGTGTCTCCATTTCAACACACCTGAGTCAAATACGTGGTCATAAGCAGGACTCTGGAGAACTTGACTGTACTTAGGAAGTGATTCAGTGATTTGATTCAGCTGTGTTGTTCCAGGGAGATGTCTTAGAGTCATAGGACACCGGTCCTCAAGGACCAGAATTGCCCACCCCTGATTTAGAGCCTTAATTCTGGAAACTTTTCTTTCAGGTCACTTTGCTGTAATAGAAACACAGGAGACTGTCTGGGCAGCAGTGGGAGACCAGGCCTCTCTGAGCTGTCGGCTCACTGAGGATAAAGATGTTCTCCAGATCACCTGGCAGAAGGTCGGCCCTGGTGGAGAGAAGAACCTCGCCACCTACACCAAGAAGTTTGGTTCTAGAGTGAGTTCTGATCTGGAGGGGAAAATGGATTTCCAGTATGAGTCTGTGCAGAGATGCTCCATGGTGATCAGGAAGGTGACTCATCAGGATGAAGGCTGCTACCGATGTTTGTTCAACACCTATCCTGAAGGAGCGCTGATAGGCTGGACCTGCTTAAAACTCTGTGGTGAGTGAAGAGCAGCAGAACGTCTGCAGATGGTTAACTCTCCTCTGGATGATGTAACATCATGTCTGTTCTCTCCACAGAGCTGCTTGGACCCTTCATTGATGTCAGCAGATCAGACTCTCCTCCAGGGTCGGTGGTGACCTGTTCAGCCACAGGTCGACCTGTTCCCATTGTAACACTGACTGTTCTCCATCAGAACCTCAGCTTCTCTCACTACAACACCAGCAGAGTGATCAACACCAACGGTACCATCACTTCCACCATCACAGCTCTGCTCTCAGCTCTTAATACCACACAGGTTGGATGTTCAGTATCACTAGACTCTGCTGCTCTCAGAGAGCTGCTGGTCATCGTTCCTGGACTCACAGATTTATCTGATGGTAAGAAACTTTTTTAATAACTAAGAAGTCATTAACCTCCTGTGCCTTGAATAAGTTGTCAACTCCACGAGACTGCAGCTGTGGCTACAATCGGCGAATGGAAGATTTGTAACAAAAAATAGGTTTTAGATGTTGTAATCACTGCAAAGGTCAGACTGATGGTCTCTCTGTGGTTCTGATTTTTGGACAGGTTTGGATGAAGACTTTGAGTCTGATCGTAAGGACGTAGGTAAGCTCAGAATCAGGTGTTGGAGTATTTTTATTCATTCAGAAATGTCGCTAAAATCTAATAATTGTTTGTTTTGTGTTCCACAAGGTCTGCTTGTAGCTATTGCAATGGGATCATTTGTTCTTCTCTTTTGCATTTTTGGGTGTTTATCCATGTTGTGGTTCAAAAAATCGCATCAGAACAGGTAACAATTTTCAACTTCATCGTTTTTGTCAATATTTTTGTTTTTCCTCATTCTTAAATTCTCCTTGTATCACACAGAAAGAAGAAAAACCGTACAGAACCATTTACAAATAACCAGTAAGAGTCTTACTTGTTTTTTTATATCCCTAATATCACATTTGATTCACAGAATAATGACATATTTATCTTTCTTTGTGTTCATTTGTAAAAGTTTCTGATCTCAATCTGTTTTTGGTCTCTTTTTAAGGTCTGAAGAGTATCAGATACCTGAGAAGAATGACAACAAGAAGACAGGTACCCTGATTAACAGACAAAGTAGCTCCCAGCAGTCACCAACATCACCAACACCTGATGTAGAAAGCTGTTCACTTGAGGGTTTGAAACTACATAAAAAACTAACTGCCAAGAAATCTTTGTAATATAATGATCTCTTGACTTGTGTTTTAATGTTTAATGCAAGATGTTTTCTCATTTCCTGAAAAGTTTCTCCTTTATAGATTGTTTCTGTCAGTCGGCAGCCATGTTGCCTCTTTAACCGTTGGCTTCAATGAAGCTCATCCACATTTCCTGCATGCAGTCGATTAATTATGGAGCAAAATCGGTCACCGTAGAAAAAAACCCACAATTTATTCTTTTTGCAACTTGCTACATTCTTACTGGAGCTGTGTAGTTACAATAGAGGTAAACATTGTTCACTATAGTTTTGTTTTGCTACTGTGACATAAGCAAAACAAAACTGTAGTGAACTGATATACTGATTCTACTGATATTATCTTAAATAATATCAGTAGAAGCTGAAACGGATGGTTGAAGCATTGTTATTAGTGTATGTCTGTATGTTGATACTAAAAACCATCATTACCTCATTTTCTCCCACTAGTTTGAGGTTGTCAGACCTCAACAGTTTGACAACCTCAAGCTGTGGATGTCGTCAGTTTTTATATATATATGTGTACAGAGAGAGACCATTTGTGTTAAAATAGGGTGTTTATGGTTTTCCTTAAAACTAAATGGAAAGTCATACAATTTTACAAATGTAAATTATCACACGAACATACTAAGATGCAAAGTGAGTTTGTTTTTTCTATGTTTTAATAAATCTTTGTAATACAAACAGAAACCTGTTTACTTCGTCAATTAGTGGCTCGTGTTCAATTTTACACAAGAGAAATGCATGTGCTAAATGAGCCGAGTGAGTAACATGTCAACCTTTACCTAGTTATTGCTGTAAACAAAACTGATTTTGAGTTGCTTGAACTATGAAAAAATAACACAGCAGCTGGATTAGATATGCATTTTTTATATTCTAGAGGAAGACGGTTTTCATCTGCTGCTCCAAAGCAATTAAATTAGTTTTCTGCTATTTTGTGAACTTTTTAAGAACAATAAGCAAGTGGATATTCCCAAAGCCTGTGTAAGTGCTCTGTGGTTTTGCTGCTTCATTTTCTTATGGGATTTTTGTTCTGACACAGAAGAAATGCATAAAATAAAGTAACGACTTCATTGATATTAACATCAAAAATTACACATCTGCCTCTTAATTTGAACAGTGAAAGCATAACAGAAAGTTCAGGAATTACTTTTTGCTTTTTCCGACTATTCTCTGCTTTGATGGGGTAAGTTTCATGGGGTAATTTTTTTTAAAAAAAATAGCAAAATAGAAAACACATTTTTCATCAAGCTGCATTTCTCATATTGAGACTGAGGGTGGCAGCATGTAGTTTCAGCAGTTCGCCACCAGATGGCGCATCGATCATGATGAGCTCTTCTGACGAGCCAACGACAGTCCAGCGACTTTACGGCCGTTGAACAACGAGGACCGTTTTATCTGTCAAAAAGGTAAATATAAATTATTCACTCTGTTATAGAGATGTTGATGTCGACAGCTGCATACATATTTGGGGAAAGTTGACTGTTTATCCCTGACAATTTTGTGGTTAAATGTAATTTGTGTTCGTTTCAGTAAGCTAATATTTAGAGCCAAGCTAGCATCATAGAATGAACGGTTCCGCTAACGGGATTTAAACAGGGATAGTAACTAGTTACATCTGCTCCGTTACATTTATTTGTAACTTTTTTTGGGTAAATTACTTTTAGGAGTATTTTAACTTGAATAATTTTTTAAATAATTTTACTGAAAGAAGACCAATCTTGTTTTAAACATAAAATCACTGACACACACCTGTGGTTTTGGCTAGTAGCATAATTTTACATTGAAAGGAGATTAATATTTTTTGCCTAGTTTTGTTACTCTGCAATTCTGGTATGAATTGTTTTAATTTTCATCTTAAAAATACCAGAAAGTCCACTTTAGGTTTGCATTTTGGTATATCTGATGCAATTTTTAAATATGAAATGTTTTGATCAGTTACTCTGAACTTGAGTAGATTTAACTTTTCACTTGAGCAAAAAAAGTATTTTGTGGTACATAATTGTTTGTTTTGTGTTACAGAAGTTGGGGAAGGTGAGATAAATTATTTGAGCAATGTTATTGATACTTCTTTATATAGGGCAAGTGCAATTTAGCACTGTAACAGTGGCTGAACAGATCACTGGCTGTGTTTCAGGTGTGAAACCAACCGGGTCAGAGGATGTGTGGACCGGTCCTGCCCCTGTGCCTCCTGCTGTGGATCCTACCAGCAACACAAGGCATGTTTCACCTCCAGGAGGGTTTTCATACTGTTATACTGGTTTTATGAGAACATCAGACATAAACATGATTATTTATTTAAATAATATCAAATATGTTATGCTTCCTGCCTGGGTAGGTCTCCTTTGGGAATGAAACTAACCTCTGCAGGATCTTATCAGATTTATATTGATATTTACTTGTTTTAATATTCTACATTTTTTCTACAGGAACAAAACCATTTCAATTAAACTGACTAATGAGGTTAAACAGCGACATTCTACCAAGAAAAGTCCAGCAAGAAACAACCTCACAAGATTTCCTTCAGTGGCAAAAAAACTGTTTAGATGACAGATTGACAAGATCATTAAAGATCCAGTAGATCATTCAAAATGCCTGAAAAATGAATGGGTCCCTCTTGGTTGGATAAACTAAACACTGTGCTCCTGTGTTTGTATTCCATTCTAATTCATATAAAGAAGTTTGAATTGTCCTCATGCTGTAAATATTCTATGTAAATAAAATCACCTCAAGATGTATGTAGATCTGTTCTGTGCCTTCTCTTTTTATTCATTTTTGTTGTCCTAAAGGAAAGGAATGCATTTTGCATGATTAGTTTAAGCTTATTTTCCAACATTTCCTTTATTTATTATATGTATAGTCTATATATCTTGTTTGTACGCTCTAATCAGAGAATCTTTGGGTGTGTCTTTAAAAACAAAACTGCTTCTGAAAAGAAAATAAAAGGACAAAAACAGAGTGGTGAATCTGGAGAGATACGTCACACCCTTACATAGGCTCAGAAGTTGTCACGTGACTTTTGTCTCACCTGTTTGAAATAAACCAGAAAAACAGGAAGTGAAGATTTTAAGAAAAGCAAAATGTTTCCTCCTGTTTTAACCTGCTGCTTTTCATTCACCGTCATCCTTCAAACCGGTGAGAACTGATTTGTTTTAAGCAGAGAAGTTAAACTTTCCGACGTTTTCAGGTTTTCTTCAGTTTTCGATTTGATGTTAAACACATTTATTGAATTGCGACAACATAGTAATTTGATGTCGACATTTATTTGTTCTCGTTTACAAACTAACGCGAAATTTTGCCAAACGAGACTTGCGCTACTTGACTGAATGAAATTAATGAACAATTAAAAATAATGATAATCTATAAGGGAGCATTTTACGGTTTAATTTGAAATGGCATAGCATTTAGTCCGAAAAGTGTAAAGAATTGTATTTTATTTTACTTTTTTATATTTCTTCAATTCACATGAGTTTAAATTGAAATTTTAATAATATCAATAATATGATCTGAAGTTCTCACGTTTTTTAGGTTTAATCTGATTCTGACCCATTTTATTGAGAAAGTTTGAGAGGAACTAGAAAGAACAGACAATTATTAAAAGCTTTATTCCTTCCAGGTCACTTTGCTGTAATAGAGACACAGGAGACTGTCTGGGCAGCAGTGGGAGACCAGGCCTCTCTGAGCTGTCAGCTCACTGAGGATAAAGATGTTCTCCAGATCACATGGCAGAAAGTTTTTCACAGTGGAGAGAAGAACCTCACCACCTACACCAAGAAGTTTGGTTCTAGAGTGAGTTCTGATCTGGAGGGGAAAATGGATTTCCAGTATGAGTCTGTGCAGAGATGCTCCATGGTGATCAGGAAGGTGACTCATCAGGATGAAGGCTGCTACCGATGTTTGTTCAACACCTATCCTGATGGAGCGCTGATAGGCTGGACCTGCTTAAAACTCTGTGGTGAGTGAAGAGCAGCAGAACGTCTGCAGATGGTTAACTCTCCTCTGGATGATGTAACATCATGTCTGTTCTCTCCACAGAGCTGCTTGGACCCTTCATTGATGTCAGCAGATCAGACTCTCCTCCAGGGTCGGTGGTGACCTGTTCAGCCACAGGTCAACCTGCTCCCATTGTATCACTGACTGTTCTCCATCAGAACCTCAGCTTCTCTCACTACAACACCAGCAGAGTGATCAACACCAACGGTACCATCACATCCACCAATATTAAGATTTGACAGCTCTGCTGTCAAATCTTAATACCACACAGGTTGGATGTTCAGTGTTACTGGACTGCTGCTCTCAGAGAGCTGCTGGTCATCGTTCCTGGATTCACAGGTTCATCTGATGATGGTGAGAAAGACTAACATTTATAGACTGATGATCTGTTTGTGATTCTGATCCATGAGCTTTTCTCACCAGGTTTGGATGTGGATTCTGGTTCAAGTAATATTATTGTTGGTAAGTTCAGGCTGAGGTTTCAGTTTTTACCTTTATGTTGTTGAGCTGATCACATCAACATGTGTTTCTGTTTCTCTAAAGGATTGTCTTTGTTGGTGCTTTTGGTCTGTGTTGCTGCTTTCATCTTTGTGTGGCTCAGAAAAATGGCAGACAAAAGGTACTGCTGTTCCAGATTATATCACCTCAGTAAATGTCTCCATCAGTTGATGAATGTTTGTGTGATTAAAATATATTTGTATCACACAGGAAGAATGATCATGCATTGAACATGTTGGAGTAAGACCCTTTTTAAAATCATTCCTCATTGCCATCCATATTTTTTCTGCTTTGGCTTTTTCTGCTATGAACCATATTCATGCTGTGATAGAGCGGTGCCAAAGTAATTGCATAAAAAACATTGCTAGTCTGAATTTGTTTGTAATTTAACAGCATGTGTAAGAGATCTGATAACATTTATTTGTTTTAAGTGATAAAATATAATTAGTAGAGCTTGGCAGTGGTAAACTTGAGTTTAAATGTTTTCACTCAATAGAACATTAGTGCTGTTGTGACATTTAATAAAAATGTCATGTTTTTTTCATGCTGTAATGTTTTAAATCACTTTGCAAAAACGACCTGCTTGAATTCCGCAAGAATAAAGAAGAGCAGGAGGACACGACAGGACAGAACAGGACAAACATCAGGTTGGTATAATATTAAATGGAACCAGGATTAACCACTTAATAGCCATTTAATCACAACTGAATATATTTTTTATCACACAGGGAAAGTGAAGATGCATCAAATATCGACTCTCTGTAAGGCTTTTATTGTTATTCCTCATTTACAGCAGACTTTATTCTGCTTTCTCTTGTTTGCAACATTTTCAAATATTAACCTACTTTTACATTTACTACTATCTCAATTTTATTTGAATTTCAAGCACTAAAGATTTTTGTAACCTTCAGTTTCAGAACATTTAATCTGTCATTATGTCTTCTTCTCATCTGATGTGTTCATCAGATTCAACTCACTTTGGTTGAAATGGCAAAAGAAACAAACAATAGCACAAAATAATATATTTTCTGTTCTTGTTTTCAGTGTTTCAGAACCTCTTGTGGTACCCACGAAAGTGGAAGACATCGTAGAGCCTCAACCAGGCCCAAAACTCCGCCGGAACAAAGAGCAGCAGTCATCAGACGAACCAAGAGAAAATTCTGAATTTGAAAATGTTAACCACAAAAAAACTAACTGAGCAATTAGTTTGAGGTGGAAGCGATGAAACAGCCTCACCTGAGCTCAAAGGCTGTGGGAAAAGAAGTTCTTGTGAAGTCAGGCTGCCTGGTCAGATGTTCGCTGGACGTCCTGGAGGAACGAAGTTTCTCAGCTGGTCTGAGGATTTTGGATTCCTCAAAAGGAGCAACGCCTCCACGACATAACCCAGAACTAATGATGGATGCAATGGATGATTTAATAATTTCAACACATGGTTGATTTTTTTTTTTTATATATATTTATTTCATTTAAAGTAAAAACAAATTCCTTTGTGGATAATTGTCTTTGTTTTAATTTCCACTTTGTATTCTCAAACAATTTTCATTTATAGTCATACTGTTTCATAGCCATAAATAAGGCATTTTATATCAATATATCATAGAATTTTATATCATTTTATTTAAGCAGGTAAGCATTTAAAAGACAAAACTAAAAGTTTGCAATAAAGTCAGACTCACTGGTACAAAACATGAATACATCAAAGTTCATTTCAATACTGTGAGCTTGTGACTTGAGATAAATCCTGAGGAGTTCAAGTTTTTAAGCCACAGAGTGAAAAAGAAGACTGAACCTTGTGAACGACACGGTTGGTCAAAACATTTTAATACACTTTTCATTTCTCCCATTCATTCAACCAGGTCAAAAGTACAGTTTTGTTATTTATAAACAGGAATGTGGTTCTGATGATGTAACTTGAACTCAGAGATTTTTGTATTTGTCAAATATAGAACAGTAACCGAGTCAGAAATATTCTTAAATATAATGAATTCCTTTTCAGATTAGGGGAAAAATATGTGTTTTTGAAGCTCATTACTGCCATCATTTTGTTCACAGAGAGGATGTTCAGTGTTAAGATGCATTCAGTTTGAAAGAAATGCGACTCAAAAACTGAACAAATGGTTTCCAAGACGTATTTTCAGTTATTAAAATAAACTGTCCAAATATCTTTCTGCTTTTCTTTAAAATTGAACAAGTAGAGTCAAAACCTGCTGATTTGCTTTTTATATAAAGTTTGAAAAACTTGGTGCAACATTTTTTTCTTTTTTGACTTAATTGCAATGCAAAGTTTGAAATAAGATCCAAATATTGTGTCATGTAGTCCTTTTTTATTTAAAAAAATATGACAAAAGAATTATTCAACAAATCTGTTTTTGTTACTCCAGGGTTAGCAGGCTGCCTCTTCCAGTAAAAGCTTGTTGCTTCAATTTATTGACCCAATTAAGCCAAATCCATGTTACAGCTGTTGACGTTTTTTCTTGTCTCATTTTTAATTCAACACCTGGCGACGCAATGACGTCACGCGCACACCTATGGAATTGCGAGGCTGTGGTTCTGTAAACTTTCTGACAGAAAGCTTCTGACAACAATGCAACGCGCTGCAGTCACCAGCTGCCTTTTAATTTGCAGCTTCCTTCAAGCAGGTGAGGAGAAATGAACAATTTGTGTTTTTCATTCGATGCAACGACTTATTTCGTCAACTTTTTTGTCGAAATGTCCCGAAATGTGTGAAATGCTGGACGTCGAAGTGAGTTACACGACGACAAAACACTAAATTATCAACAATTTATTGGTAATATTTGAAGCATTGGTGCAGGTGATGCTCAGGAAGTTTGGGGAAGAAAATAAATAAATCAAGACTTCCGTATTTTTACTAAAACAAGAATGGTGTTGAATTCGTGTTGTGACCGGAAGTAGTGACGACAACGAGCCACTTTACTACTTATAATTATTGTAAAAAAAGGTTAATAATTATTATAATTGTAAAAGTTGAACAGAAATTGTTTTGACTAAACGTTACGCTGTTATGTCATCAGTCATGACGCAGGTAGAGAGCGTTTCCTGTTTACGTTTTTTACGGTGAAGCCTCACCGTGTCAGTGTTTTCTGTTGGAGTTTTTCGTTATAAAACAAAACAAAGTTGTGCTTAGTTATCAAAGTAAAAGAGAAATTATTCATGACCGCAAACGAGGAAGAATGGCAGCATATGAGTTACTGTGTCATCTATTTCGGAGGGAGGATTCATTAAGCAT